GAGCACCTTACAATGTTTCGCTTCACAACATCTAGATTCGTTCAGTGCTAGAAGGCATCGGGGGAGTAAGGACTGTGAAGCGGAAAAGGCCTTCTGGTTTCGAATGCAACGAAAGACCGACTTGAATGGCCATGTCTGAAACGGGCAGTCCTTGCTTGCAAGGCGTGGGGCGCGGTATTCCCGCACAGCGTCCCTGTAGCTGGATGTGTGCCGGACCCCGACGACACCAACACTTGGGGGGGCGGCGGGGTGGGCAGGGGGCGGGGTGGGGGGGGGGGGGACGGTTGGATTGGTCCGGACTGTGTGACAACGGTTGTTCTTTTTGTTTTAGCCAGTACTTTTCTCATTTCTTTTTCTTGGCAGACCAGTACCCTTCTTAAGTATTTGTCTCGTAGTTTTTCGCGACAACAAATTTTTGAAAAATTGCAGGTTGCCAAACAAAAAGGTCGCTAAAGGAACTGTTGACAGCTCCTCGGACCCCTCAAGGAACCCCGCAAAGTTCGCGGAACTCCCTCACCAACCGGGGAGTGGGGGGCGGGGGGGTGTGGGGGGGGAGGGGGGGCTGAGTGGGGGCTTGGGCGAGGGAGGGCAACAGCTACGATTACATGTCGTTACATAAAAACACGCATGCAGGATTGGGAAAATCACAGTGCCATGAACAAACGCTGTCCCGTGGCAGGCGGCTTGCAACAACTATTCAATCTCATTTTTGCAGCTTGGCTCAACTGAACGGCCAGGCTTCGCTTGCATTAGCTTGGTCCCAGCGAATCCAAAAACTACTTCTCATGGCTTCCAAGGCAATCATCTCACATCGCCTTCTGGGCTTGGGACGGGGAGTGGAGCAGGCAGCTCTGCCGGGCTTGTTAGTTGAAAAGGTCAGTCAGGGCAGTACCCCGTAATCTGCAATTGCTGTGTAAGTGTCAGCAAGTGTTGGTAGTCACTTTGTATGCATGAGAGAGAAGGTTGGTGTGTAAAGTTCTTTCTGTGTGGTCGTCCTTCGAGATGCAGTAGTTCCATCTCCTTGCACTCATTGCGAATCACAAACAAACGCTTCCTCGACTACAGGTGCCCGTGAAATGCGTGTCCCTGCTTCTGGTATCAATCGGCCTGGCATTGTCCACCACATGACTCCCGGTCCATGCAGTATAGTTGAGAGTCATGCTTTTCGGCCGGATGCATAGCCAGCTTTATTGTGCGAGTAGGCGCGCCACAGTCCGAGCTTTGAATGCTGCATGTCGCAAGCAGCTAAGGATCAGTGCCGCTGCCAATGAGCATACCATGTAGCCGACAGCATCAAAGCAATCCTACAATTTCTTGGCAATGTGGATGAGTCACGGCTCGCAGCAGTTTCGTACAAACCATAGTCCCGCAATTGGTTCAGTTGCTCCTTGGCGTACCATAATTCGGCATTTTGCGAGACAGACACATGTGAGATGGTTTGCAGAGCTGTTCAACCTCGTGCTCCCACAAGCCACGCACGCCGACGCGTGGACGGTGCATGGAATGTGAATGTACCCGTCACATATTCTTGATATTCCAATTATGTCCTTCGAGAGCTCCAGCAGCCATGGCTCTCGCCCAAAGACGTGTACTGATTCAAAACTCGGCAGATAGATACAAGAAAAAGCACTTTGGGTTGAGATTGGGTAGAGCACCACCATGATTTTGAAAGCTTTCGATATCGAAGTCAAAGCTTCTTGGCCAAAATTGGCAGGCGCATCCGCGAGACTGAACGTGCATGAGCTCCTTGCTCAAAGCCCCACCCCCTTTACAACATCATCAGGAGCAACTGCTGCCGGCGCGCATGTAAAGAGACGGAGGCTGGGAATTTAGCAAGTCTGATAGACTTTAGACAAGCGGTAGATGGGAGTATGCCCCGACGTTGCAGAGCTTGCAGGACTGCATAGCAGGAGAACTGCCAACACCACCACCATCATGTCAGTTCCGCGGTTTGTTTCATCGGCGACGCGACCAGCACCCAGGGGTGCAGAAGCGCCAAAGGGCAGGCTCAGGGTTTGCAAAGAAGCAAGCCCAGTGCAAAGGGCTATGTACATGGTCGTGCCGCACGGTTGACAGGGCGAATAGTAAGAGCACTCAAGCAATCGCCACGAGACCATGTACTTATGCCTTCTGCCTAATCCGGTCGCTCGTGAACATCGTGAGCTGCATGGACGAACTGTGGCAGAAATCGGCTAAGCCCATACAATCAAGAGCATCTCCTACTGGTAGCAGTACATGGCTGGTAGCAGTACATGGCTTGGAAGATCTTAAGGAGGTGTAGCACTGCTTCTTTTCCAGATGTTTTTCCTCCCAATCTGCAAAAAGAAACAACTGCATGCCCTCGTTCTTTGTTCGGATGCCAGCTGAGCAGCGTTTTTTTCTAGGAGCAAGGCTACGTAGAGAAGCGATTATTGAAAGTCGGCCGCGTAGCTTTTTGCCTGCAGGGCGTAGCTTTGCGTGGGGTCCGCGTAGGCAAGTCTATGCAGTATGGGCGCGTAGGTCCGCGTAGGTTGTCTATGCTTGCCGCGTAGGTCCGCGCAGGCACACGTCAACAACATACTCCACCCGTAGGCCGCGCGCCTACTAAACATGAGCTGACGCGTAGGCCCGCGTAGGATACCCATGCCATTACAAATTACAACACCCCACACAATGAAAAAAAAAATGCTCAGCTGCCTTTTTTCGTTCTTGCAGCTACGTAGTCGAGAGTTCATGTGCATGTTGCGGGTTCCGCCAAGTCAAAGTCAAAGCCAGCTTCAACTGACTTGACACCGCATTTGCGTGGCAAGACCCTGCAGCAGCAGCAGCGACGGCTCTGTAGCCGGAACTGCTCCGTGAAGTTTCAGCAGGCACAAGCGCTTGCTTTGAGCCTGAGTGGTGGCTGCCTCTCCCGCTATGCTTACATATGCTTGCCAGCATCAGCTGAATCAGTTCTACCATGCACTGAGTTGTAGAAATTTTCGGCCAAGCATAATCATGCCATCGCACTCGTTGTTTGGCACCTTGCTACTGCACAATAGTGTAAGGAGAAACCAAGAAGAAGAGCAGTAACCTGTGTACGCATAACATGGGCTTGCTGCAGTGGGGAGACCTTCAACCACGAAACAGTGAAATGAGATGTCAGACGTGTATACAAAACATGGAACGAAAGCAGAACCTGCAATTGTTCTGAAATCTTAAGGAAATGTACGGCACGCCGCTGCTGAGGTGGCTGGTGCAAGGCTGATGTCATGGAGTGTAGGGTCTGCATGCTTTGAGGTATTGACTGGAAACTGTGTAGGCAAGCAACGCATTGCTGCTATGCAGACGCTCCAACCCATGATGAGTTGGTGAGCTCCTGCAAAGGTTTGTTTTTCCACGCAGTGCAAGAGCTCCCAGCCAGTCACACATCAAACAGGTTTAGTTTTTCCAGCTACGAACATATATAGACAACACAAATGGTACATGACAAGCCTGACTTGTTGCAACACGAAGCGCAATTTCAACCGCTTTTGCTTGATTCTGTGCGGCATTCAGCCGCCACAGGCTTTTCTATGCTGGCAACAAGGCGAGCTTGAGCCAACCAAACTAGCCGGCGGGGAACTCCAGCTAATTTCCTTCACATTCACTGTGTTGGCTTCAAGGACACATAATCAGAAAGGGCTGTCGAGATTTTCGAGCTTGCCCGTGGGTTTATGTTTGCTTCCTGCGCATGGTCGCATTTCAATAATATGCAAGAGTACGCAGCGGGAAAGAAACAAAAGGAGAGGCTCCTTTTGGACGTTGCTTGAGGCATGTCGGCTGCTGACCTGCCAATATAGCCTTAACAGCACTAAGCTGGGCATGCAGAAGTATGCCTGAAGCATCCTGAAACAGTGGAGTCAACACTCCTGCTTAGACTTAGACATAAGGTCCCCTTCTAGCCAATGTTTATATACTGGAACCCTTGGTTCCCAAAAGGAACCATCGTCTGGAACAGCCCACTAAACTCTAACACCAAAACCCCATTTTGGCTCAAGGCCTGCTGCATCGGGCAATGACCGTGCCTCTGCCGCGGAAATGGAATGTAGTGTCTGCTCAGCCTGAGCCTTCACCTTCAGGCAGAAGCTGCCAAGGGTCATACCTTCACGCCCAACAATGAGATCTAAAACGCCCCAAGCGGCTGTTCGCCGCCATCCCGATGGCGTCTGCATCGGGAAGCCATTCACGGAGCATGGTCTGTATCGGGAAGCTGGTCACGGAGTACGGCGTGCGGTCGAGGAGCGCTGCCGCGCAAAGTCAAATCACCCCGCCAGCGGCCTCTGCCGTCTCTACCTGGCCCCGGAGGCTGTGCTGCTCACAGTGCTCGTGAACCTCTGGAACTAGATTTGGGCCTCGTCATTGACGGAGAGAAGGCAGCGAACGTGAGCCGCAAGCTTGGCGAGATCAACTATGACTAGGACCTGGAGCTCCGTTTATGACAAGGTGAACTGGGAGTTTTGCCCTTCCCGCTAAGATAAGAACTCTCCATAAACGAATCAAGCGGTGGATCTCGATCTTGCAGTCTGCGGGTTGGCAAAGATGTGCCAAGGAGAGCCGATGCATCCATGACGGAGCAGGTGACTGGCTTCGACAACGCTTGGACCAACCCTCGTGGCCAACCTGGGACAGCGGCTGGTGGCATGTCGGGGTCACTCCCGGGTGCTCATTCGATCTCAAGTCATGGGGCGTGAAGTGCCAGCAGTGCGCAGTGCAAAAGTGCAAAGGTGCTGGTGAGTGGGAAGAACGATTGCGGGCGAGAGGCTTCCTTCCACTTGTTGCTCACGGATGGTTGAGCCAGGTGAGAGCTGCGGTTCCCGGAAGATGCTCGATGATGCTGCAGAGGGTGCTGGTGACTGCTACTAATGTTTCTGAGTATATGTCCGAGATGATCTGGGATTGAAATCGGTTTCAGAACCAGCCTCGTGCAACGTGTGAGTGCCTGCAAGATGCTCCGGTGCCAGTGTGAGAGTCGAATCCCTCAGTTCAGATCTTGGCTGCAGGCCCGCTGCACCTCCCAGGACCGCTGCGCCCCACGGCGTCTGGCGGAAGCGCTCAATGCCGAGCCTGCGCTGAAGGTGAAGGCCTAGCAGGGCTGCTCGCTTATCGGCGTTGAAGGTCTTGCACACAAATATTGGCGTGGATTGTGGATTGCGGGTCCTTCGAAACTTGTATCCCAAAGATGACTGCCGCACCCACCATGCGCTTCTTCATCATGGTGGCATCGGGGAAGGGGTTTATTCGTTCTTGGATATGAGTCCCAGTCCCCTGCCGTTTTCTTTTCTCGGGAATCGCACCCATTCACTTTCAAGCTGAGAAAACATAAAACCTGTCCCACCAGTTCCTGTGAAGGACGCCAGCAATGAGCGCTTGATCCAGCTCCATTTGCGTCTTACTACTGCCTGGCTCCTGGCACCTGTCGTACAACTGTGCTCACATGTGCAAAGAATGACTTTTCAGAGCGGGCAGCTGTAAATTCTGCCAGCACTTGTCATCTGCCACATTCCCCCTAACATGTGGGCTCCGTGAATGTCCCAGCAATTTTTGCTCCGAGCCCGATAGAACCCCGCAATTATCCGAAAGCGCCTGGAGCTCATACTGCCAGATGGCTTCCTACGCAGAGCTTCAAGGCTTCATTCGACGCTGGCCAGGCTGCGTTCTGTGAGATGCCCCCCAAGAAGCGAGCATTTCCAAAGCACTACCAAAGCGTTACCAAAGCACTACCTAGCATGATCCCCCAATGCTGACCCACCAGCTCGCAGTCACTGGCACAGTAGCACGACCCGCCTCGGAAGGCACGGCCTGCGCTGTAGCTGCCTAGATCTCAGATGCCCGTCTGTTGCAAGGGAAGGAGACGGCTCATGATTCTTCACATGGAAGTTGTGGAGCTTGGGCTTGTCCCATAGCTGTGGCACCCCCATGTGTACTTAAAGCTCCGAAAGCAACCGGACGCAAGTATCACGCTTCACCAGGTCAAATGGACCAAAGCATGTTCGATTGATTCTGAACAACTTTTGTGCCTCGAAGTCGCCTCAGAAGCCCCTGGTCCTTCAATCCGAGGCTGTTGGCTTAGGCGGCACGGACCGCAACGTGCAACTCGCTGCAGTCTTCCGGGAGGCTGTATATAGGGTGTATGTAGAATAGTATGACTAGCGCCCTATACATATATGTATATGTTTTGTTGTTTATATTTCTTTCTCATTAATATATGCGGTCTAGATGACAAATACAACATAATGCATAGTCATACATATGTATGTATGTTTGTTTGTGTGTATGCATATACACACATTTTTCTTTATACATGTTTAGGCCAAACAAACAAACGGCATGACGGGCATCAGCTGAATCTATGTTGCAGCTTCACACTTGAAGCGCTCTGGGTAAGGTAACATTAGCATGTGCGTTGGTAGAGGAGTGATCTCCTGCCCTGTGTTTTACTCTAAGCTCTGAAGCCTTCAACCAATCGACTAGCTGGCCACAGATGACACATTATGATCATTATTATGATGATTAGTAGTGTCATTTATTAGTAATAGTAAGATTATTATTCTTATTATTATCATTTGGTATGTGTGTTTTTCTAAACAGTAATAATACTAACAATAATTCTGGAAGAATAACAATAATCATAATACTATGTGTATATATATATAGACACCTTTAGATCCCTTGCAGCATGGAGGCCTACGGGCACCATGGAGCTCTGGTGGCCAAGACCCGGGCCAAGTCTTATGGCCCCTGGGCTGCCAGAGAGGTTGCCCACGGCTTGAGTGCTAATTGCATCCCAAGCGGGAGTGGAGATACTTACGATGAGTTTAGATCAGCTGCTCGCGCAGGCAACAAGAAGGGCTTCGACTGCTCACCTAACCTGTCTACACGTGTCTGAGCTAAGGCGGTGTCGGACCTTTGCACATGCCCGACTCTTACAGTTATTCAGGGCCGCATGTCTGATGTGCACTTTGTCATGGTGAGGCTGGGGGGCTAGTCAGCAACATATGCAGCCACAGATTGAGGTATCGGTGGTTGAGCTGCCACAGAAAAAAGTTGAGCCCATGCAACCAAGCATTCTTTTGGCACATTAGACTCCTTAGACGATGTTTTCCATGAGTTTCGTACATGCATGGTTGCAACGACTTGCAACGTGCACGGCATGCAGGCTCGAACCAACCACGGCAGCAGCCCAGCATTCGCTAGCAAAACCATGGCGGCAACCCTGAACGCCTTCGCGCAGCCTGGCTGTGGCAGGCAGCCTGGGCGACTGGCCATTTCGATTCCAGAAGGCCCCGAGGGCTTGGAAGATGGCCGAGACATGTACTACCCACCCGAAGCGGTGCAAGTGAGAAACACTTTCATACATGTGGCTAGCCCGGCTGCGCCAGAGGGTGCGTACCGAGCGGCATTGACATGTCCTGCCTCGCACGTGGGCCTGATCCAGCGGACGATGAAGGAATGGCAGGATGACGTGAAGCCCGCCGAGGGCAAGCCAGTCATACGCCTAGAGGATGCTCTCTGCGGTGGCGAAGGTGGTTGGATGGTTGATCCGATCATTGAGATTCAGACGCCTTGGCAGTGCCACACACAAGGCCAACAGATGGAGCCACCGACAGCAGCTCCACTCGCACCGGCACCCGGAACATCGGAACTTCCCAGCGTCGGTTCCAGTGGCCACCACACCGGCGACTGCAAACCATGTTCCTTTCTGTATTCTGCTCAGGGGTGCAGAAATGGTCCGACGTGCATGTTCTGCCATTTGTGTGACAGAAGCGAGAAGAAGCGACGGCAAAAGCTGATGAAGGCCACACTCAACAAATCACACCAAGCTGCCTAACAGCAATTTCTGCCTTAGCCAATTTTCAACGCACCGATCGACGAAACTCGGATTGATTGGTCACTGATTTTTGCATAAGATGACAGCGAAGCAGCTGTGTGTCGTAATTCGATCGTTTTCTGCGATGGGCCGGGCTGATGCCTGACGAGGCCTTTGGCTTCCCCATGCTTTTTTGATCTCTCCAGCAGCAGAAGGGCTGCACAGAGAGCTGAGGCTTACGTCAGGGACACTGCGGACATTGTACAGATACCCTGAGCCTAGACTGAAGCGCCACAAGGCGCTCAGAAAGAATTCGCCGCAACCGCTGCAGTCGTGCAGTTCAACTGCCTGGCCTGAAGCGTCCAGGTTCATGCTGTGAAGGGCTCACCTCAAACCTGGTTTGTGTGGGCCCCTTACAGTCACTCCTCGACAAAGCGCCGGAGATGCAAAATGGCTATGCAGCCAGGCTTGCCCAGCACAACACTGAAGAGCCCGGGCTGGCACCTGCAAGGTTCAGAGAAGCAGACTTTCATGGCGCAGTGGTGCTGGAGCCTGTTATTGTCCGCCTCTCAGAAATCATCAGTCGAAGATTCGAAGATGCAGCTCGGCTCCATCATGGGAGTGGACGGACTTTGGCATGCCGAAAGGATATCACGAATGTGCAGCGTATACTGCTAATTCAGAAGGCACGCACGTGAGCAGAAGACCAAAGACACCAAAGTGCCCAAAGCGCCTCACTGGATATGAGTCCTATGGAGGAGCATGTTCTGAAGTACGAGCCGGAGGCGAACGTCATGATTGCTGGGCCCTGGGTGGTTAAAGATTGCCTGGCAAGTGCAGACTACTGACTACTACTGCAACTGACCCTGCCATACATGATTAATCATGATTATGTTGAATCAATGTAGAATGTAGAGTCTATGATGGAGAGCTTGGCGTGGCTCGGTCACAGCTAGCGACTGAGGAATTGCAAACTCCACCTCAGCCGGACCCTCGAAACCAATCGGCAGTGGCGAATGCTCTTGACATCTCTTGACCAAGTTGTGCTGCAACGAAGCCTGAACTTTGCACCCGTCGCAATGCCCACCGCAAACTATAATCACGATAGTGCCCGCACAAACTTGGCTGCAGCAGCACTTCAGGCATGTGCAATTGCATTGATGCTGTATGCTGTGATTGCGAGAGGGCGCGGAAGTGGGTGCAGCTTCCTTTGCACAACAGCTGCTAGTCTAGTAAGATGCTGGAATACTTGGAGGTGCCCCGAGTTTGAGAAGTCCGCGGTGGCCTTCGAGGCAGAGGCAGGATGCGCATAGACTACATTTGCAGGCCAATTCCTTTCAGCTGACAGGCTTCGTTTCGCCCGGCATCAAATGCAGACGTAGCTTGCAGCCACTTCTACCCATAACGCCATGACGCAGGCTGCATTTTCATCGCGTGCGCTGTGTGCAGCGGCTGCTTTGGCCCCTCGCGGTGATGGCCCCTCAGGCCTTCTCGGAAGCTTAGTTTAGTCATTAGTCGTTGGTGAAAGTCCTTCGGCGGATCATCACCGAAACCAACCCCATTTCCTGTATAAGCAGTTTGGCAATTTGATTTTATGTGCCAGCCTCCTGCTTGCTGGCGAAAGAGCTGATGGTGCGGCATCCCACCGTTCTCGCCTCAGACATCCATACTCTGCCAGCAGTTTCTGCAGGCTACTCGCACAAAGTCGAAGGAAATACAGCCCATCGCTCAGGCGTCTGACGTCCAGACCGCCGGCTGTAAAGTGCTGGGGGCTCCCAGACGTTCGGGGAGAGACACCGACCGTCACGCGCCATCGTACTGACTGAACTTGTGAACCTTTCTCATGATTCTCGGGATCTGTCATGATTCAGGCTGTCCATCTCAGCAGCTTAATTTCTGGCCAAGTGTTGCGTGCCGGGATGCCGGTGGAGCTCGCGCCCGCCATGGTGGGAACGGAGACCGCGTCCGGGGTACTGGCGCATGAAGGCTGGGAGTTTGCAAGGCGTCGTTCCAATAAGTTCCAATCGTTCCAGCCCATTTTTCCTACAGTGCTGCGAAGTTGTGTGTGTGTGTGTGGACTGTGGTAATAGTACGTAAAACACAGTTCCTTCCATGCATGCTGATGCAGCAGCGAGTTTCAGAAGGCCGCGAGAGCACAAGTCGCGACGAGGAGGCTCAGGCAGATCTTGCATGCTCTGCATGATTCTGCATGCGCTCCTTGTATTCTGATGTGTTGCATTGCGTTGGGCAGGCGTGTTGCTACATTTTTGCGCGCAGGCTGAGGAGCAGCTCTTGGCGAAGGCTGCGCATCAAAGAGAAGAAAACCCCCCCCCCACCACCCCCTCCCCCCCTCCCCCCCTCCCCGCCCCTCCCCCCCCCTCCCCCCCCCTCCCCCCCCCCTCCCCCCCCCCCCCTCCCCCCCCCCCCCCTCCCCCCCCCCCTCCCCTCCCCCCCCCCTCCCCCCCCCCTCCCCCCAACCCTCCCCTCCCCCCCCCTCCCCACCCCCCCAAAACTCGTCTTTGTCGCATCTGCTTCCCGCAAGCAGATGCTGCTTGTCATGAGACAGGATTGGGGGGGTTAGCGGTTTTTTCAAGGGGGGGGGGGGGGGGGGCTTGGTGTTGAGCGGGGAGGGGGGGGGCCTTATGTTATCGTGCGAGCGTGAAACCGGGATTTCTCGACACTCTGGAGTTTCGGTGGGAACAGACTACAGATTGTATAATAGTCATTGACATGACATGGATCCACAGCGGGATGACACAGTTGCAGGCACGGCAAATACCGCTTGAGCCCAACTTTTTCGTTGGCGGCCCCGACGCACCAGCAACTGATCATGCATGCATCGGGTAATTTGATTGCAGCTTTGAATGTTGTAATAGAGAACAGTCGAAGACGTCGTCGTCCTCCTCGTCGTCGTGGTCGTGGTGGTGGTGGTGGTGGTGGTGGTGGTGTGGTGTACTAGTCGCAGTCGTAGTTTGTGTCATCCCTCGCCCTCGCTCTCGCCCTCGTCCTCGCCCTCGTCCTCGTCCTGGAGTTCTTGGTTATTCCCGCTACCAGGCAGTGACCGCCAAAGTTCCTATCAGACAGTGACTGCAAAAATGCGGACTGCATGGAATGGCAAATCCAGATCTCAGGCAAAAATCGGCAGAATTCGTTTGCTCCGATGTTGCGGCCGAACGGCGTATGTTGGGCCACACTGGTTTTGCTTCTCAACTGCCAAGTCATTGGCCGCATCGTCCTGTGACTGCGTCATGTAAATTTCTTCAGTTTCTTGTCCGAATGCAGTTGAGAGGGACGAGATTGCCACTGCACCTAGGTTCCATCATCATGCTGGCAGACCCTGAGCTGCAGCATGATTGTACCTGTCAAGTGGCATGGGAACCTGCTTTGGGGAGACGAGCTGTTCACGGCGCTTGAAGACGTCAGTTCTTTGCAGCAATGTCACTACAAGTTGCCTGATTACTCTGGGTTGCCTTTGAGGTCATTTTGGGCATTGGCAGCTCCTTTGTCATGTGCCATGGGCATGGGGCGGGGCATCATGTCGCGTCAATAGGCTGAATGGGTACATCATATCGTGGCCTGCTTCACATGGCTTCCTCCCCTCAGACACAGGTCGGAAGAGCCCTGAAAAATGTGTTTGCGCAAGCGGTGGTTATTGTGGTTGTGCTGGTTCGGTTCGTGCGCTTTCCTGACATCTTGCGGCTGCATTTCTGGCAGGTACCACGTAGCTAGATCCAGTCTGTCTTCGGCTCAGTTTACGTTTGCTTGCGAAGATCGCCTGGCAAGCGAATGCAAACCCGATTGCTCATGACGCGCGACATTGTGTGTGTTGATGGTTTGGCTTGTGTATTCACGTCGAGCTTTCCACGTCTCGTGTACTTGCTGCTTCTATCCCAAAAAGGCATCTGCAATTTTAATCCCTGTGGGCCGCAGCCTGCCCTTCGAGGCTACACACTAGTCTGGGTGTTCTGGCGACCACCTGCTCTGCACTGGCATTCCTTTCCTGCGCTCTGTCGAATCTTGGCTTGCATCTGAATCGATGCCTCGGACCGAGTTCGAGAAGTCAGCCACCAAACTTCACTACGCTCCCCTAAACCCCAAACCCATACCGTCACAGCCTGAAAGACAGAATTGGAATGTGTAGGAGTCCTGGCATCCTACAGCCGCAAGCAGGGAGCCAGGGAGGCCAGTGTGAGGTCTACAAAAGTTCTTCAGGTTCATAATGGAACCAGAGACATAATATGTACATACATATATACATATACTTATATATATATACACATATATATATATATGGTACCCCCCCCCCTCAAAACCTACCTTTTCATACCCTTTTCTATGTCGAGACGTTATGTTTATGAAATTCGAAGCCGGATGTATATATATATATACATCCGATACGAAATATTAAATACTTAGAGACTCCAATAAAAAATCTCCAGGGCCAGGAGTTTTAAAACTCTTCTTGTGGCTAAGCAAGGAGTTTTAAAACTCGTGGCCCCGAAGATTGAAGATTGAAGATTCCCCAGAACTCTTTCCAGGAATCTTCAATCTTCAATCTTAGGGGCAGGGGGTTTTAAGACTCCTCTTGTGGCTAAGCAAGGAGTTTTAAAACTCGTGGCCCCGAAGATTGAAGATTGAAGATTCTCCAGAACTCTTTCCAGGAATCTTCAATCTTCAATCTTCGGTGGCATGAGTTTTAAAACTCCTCTTGTGGCTAAGCAAGGAGTTTTAAAACTCCCGGCCCCGACTACTTGAGATTGAAGATTCCCACAAAGAGTCCTGAGACATCTTCAATCTTCAATCTTCGGTGGCAGGAGTTTTAAAACTCCTCTTGTGGCTAAGCAAGGAGTTTTAAAACGCCCGGTCCTGAAGATTTTTCTTATGGTTAAAAAAAATCTTACAAAACTCTAGGCCATGGTATTATATATTGAAGCACTGAAAGTGGTTCCATTATATGTGCACAATTTCGACGCGCAGCTTGGGCTATAAACGCGCAGTTTCCAGCCATAGCATACTCCTCATGTCGGCCGTCAACATGAAGGTTGCGTGCGCGTTTAGGTTAATTGTAATCCTATATGGGTTTTGGGGCTTCTCTATAAAACGCTAAGCCCGGGACCTTTAAATCTTAACCCTATAGGGTTTAAAGGTTATGTGTTTCAACTTAATTGCAGGCTTAGGTTCAAAATTATATATCTTAAACCCTAAACCTTTAAACCTTAACCCTATCAAGTTTCCAGGTTGCAGGTTTCGTTTAATTACACGTCAAGGTTTAAATTCTAGACCTTGAACTAACGCTTAAAGTTTAAGGGTTTCGGTGTATTTGCAGGTCAAGATTTAAATGCCTATATCTTAAGCCCTAAACCTTTAAATCTTAATCCTACAGGGTTTAAAGGTTAAAGAATTGGGCTTATTTGTTTAATCCTATAGGGTTTCGGGGCTTTTCTTTAACACTCTAAATCCTGGATCGATAGGGGTTTAGAGTGCCTATGTCTTAAACCCTATACCTTGAAACCTTAACCCTGCAAGGGTTAAAGGTTTCGTGTTTCCGTTGAATTGTAGGTCAAGGTTTACATGTCTGAAATTCAAATCCTAAACCTTTAAACCGTAACCCTATAGGGTGTTTAAAGATTAAGGGTTGAGGTTAAATTGCTTAACCCTATAGGCTTGGGGTTTTGGGGCTTCTCGTTAGAATCCTAAACCCTGGATCGATAGGGTTTTGGAGAATAAGCCCTGACAATACCCTTAAACAAACCCAGAACACGCAGTGGAGTGAAGTGGAGGGGAGTGGGGGGGTGTGGTGGGGAGTGTTTTTTGGTCCTACTTATTTTGGAAGACCGACCCCTGGCGCCCTCTCCCCTTCTATTTAGAAGCAAATTAAGTCCTTATAAGCAAATTTGTTGCGTTGGAGATTGAGTGAGTACACAGATTACGTACCAACTCATACATACATATAAAGCCAATACACAGTATGAATATGCATGTGAGTATTGCAACACTACGACGACTTCAATCTTTAATTTGAGGGTCGATTCAAAACTGAATCGGCCGATTCAAATTTGAATCGGACATATTTCATCATTATAGGGGAGCCCGCTCTTTAGGACTTAGCGAGAAGGATTTAGGGAATAGGCGTTGAAGTGGGGAGCGCTTAGTCCCCAAATCCTATTTTCTAAGGGGGCGCAAATCTTATCGGTAAAGCTTTAGCGTTAGCGAGAAGATTTATTGAGCAAGGTTGGCTTTTGTATGAGTTAGGGGGGGGGGGGGGTCTCATTTTTGGGGATTTAAGGCTACTTAAGATTCCCTCTTTAGGATTTGGTGACTCCCTCCCACCCCTCTTCCCCAATATGATTTAGGGAGTGAAATTAAGGGATAAGATTGAGGGATCCTTCTTTGTTGACTTTAGCGATAAGATCTACTGAGTAAGGTTCTTTGTTTTATAATGTAGACGGAGAGGCTCATCTTTAAGATTTAGAGTAAGGATCCCCCTCTTTAGGACACCCCGCTTTAGGGCTTAAGCAATAGGATTTAGAAAGTAAAACTAAGGAATGCTTTTTAGGATTTAAGGGATCTCCTCTTTAGGGTTTAGCCCCCCTCCCCCGCCCCCCACCTTTAGGCCTTAGGGAGTTAATTTCAGGGAACCAGATCTAGGGATCCCGATAAGATTTTATCCGAGCATCTGTTTAATTGGTGGGACCCCCCACCGCAATAAGAAAGGCAGGGCACTGCAATAATGAGACCTTGGCAATGTATGCATTCTCTATTAAGCACAATAGGAATGTATTGTAGTTTCGCCGATCCAGACTGCAGCTCAGCAATCAAAAACGAAGCCTGCAGACAGATTTTCGATCACCCCCGGAAAATATTCATTCACTGTGGCGGTATTTCCCCATACGGAAACCCCCGTAATGGAGGTAGTAATTCTTTTTTAGAATTCAGAGGCTCTCCTCTTCAGAATTTCAAGACTTCCCTCTTTAGGGCTTTGGGAAAAGACTTAGGGAGTAAAATCATGGGAATATGATTTAGGGATCCCACCCTTTAGGATTTAGCGAGAAGATTTAGTGAGCCATTTAGTGACCCACCCCCCCCCCGCCCGCCCCAGATTTAGGGACTGGGGGAATATGATTTAGGGAATACGATGTAGGAATCCCGTGCTTTCGGATTTAGCGAGCAGGATTTTGGGAAGAGGGTTTATGCAACAGAAAATTGTGTGAATAAGGTCAAAGGATTTAGGGAGTCGGTCTCATCTTTAAAGCGTTTTGATGTCACGCAAGTGTAGAAAATTAGGAAACGGTAGGTTTTGGAGGGGGGGGTAGCATATATATGTATTTATTTATTTGTTTATTTATACGCTTTACGAGAATACACAATACACACACATGTGTATATATATATATACATATTGCAGAATGCACGTATGTATGTATGTCTGTATGTGTGTATGATGCACTGGGCATCGATGGGCCTTATTTGGGAGGTCCCGGCGCACCAGAGCAATACTTCGCTTCCAACGGGAAGAGGCACTGCACTGTGGCTTGGCATGTCAACAGAGGCTGTGGGGGGTGGGTGTGAGGGTTGGGTGTGGGGGCCGCACGTGGAATTTCTATGAATTTCTAAAGCCTACAGTGCGTAGAGGGCCTGCAGTGTATAACGAGAATCCATTTTGGAGACCTCGTGCGTTGGACGTGCCTTATACGCACCTCTTCCATGCATGATTCCGAAAACAACAGCAGCCAAGGCTTGCAATATCAAGCAGCCGGTTGGCGTTCTTCATTGCGATTATTGCCATGTCTGCCGACTTCTTAGATAAATTTCAGCTTCGAGCCCTAGACGATGCTACCCGTCTAAGCGAGGCATCGTCGGATGGGACCATCACTGTCCCTGGATGAACAAGTGCATCGGCCAACCTCTCAGACAAAGACCAAGCTATGTGGGGAGATGCGCGTCTGCTTCGAACGCGTTCACCTCAGGCGAGAGCAACCTCTTCTTCTTCAATTCCTTCCTTGGCATCAGTTTGAGCTCGCTAGGTTACATTGTCTTGGCTACGATGTTAATTTCCTAGGCCTTAGGAGTCCTACCGGTCCTACCGTGGCTCTTGGTTTGAGGAGCGCGCTGCCCTCTTTGCTCAAGTGGATCCAAGAAGGTGTCCAACTTGAGGCGTTGCCTCGCTTTGCCCCTCTGGGCCCCGCGTTACGACTCAGTACCACAGGGTGCTTTGAGTGCTTTGTCGGGCGTTTCGCGCCCTGTACGGAGATACGAGATTCCAGCAGGTGACAAAACGAAAGCGCGCACTTTGGCCGCGCAGCAGGAATTCTGTTTTTGGCGCTGCTGTTGTGCATGCGACATGCAGTTCCAACACAAGGTTGGGCAGCTGGCTTCGTGGCTGTCAGTCCTCGTTCTCAGATTACCAGGCCTTCGGAACTGTGGAGGCCGCCGTAAGCCTCACACCGTGTCTTGGTCCAGTTTCGCCCCGGAACTATTGGGGCGCATGCTCAGTTCAACCACACTCGCAAGTCTGCCGCAATTATGGGAAAGCTCGGGGTGCATGATTGCTGCTGATGCCCTCTTAGTCGAGCTCTGTAGAGGGATCCGAAGTCACAGACGCTGTCGACCTGTACTAAAAATGGCGCCCATGCCAGGTGCTACTGTAGTGAGACCTCTTCGTCTGCCTTTTGAGCTTGTCCAGGACATTGTTGATGATCATGATTGCTGTCTGTGGGCGAGGCAATCGCAGCTGCAATGCGAAGGCACAGTGCCAACGCGCGCTTGCAGGAGGCAGTTCATGCACGTCCCACGGCACTGCAGACAAAAACATGTGGGAAAGCTTTCGCCTCCAAAACCGAAGGCGGCTGCCTCGGCCCTAAGTGCTGCGTCCTCCTGGCCGGCACTGCAGGCGGCCGATTCCCCAGACTTCTTGATGGTTCTCTAGTAAGAGTCATTGCATGGGCAGGCCTTCAAGCCTCGGGTGTTGATACTGCTGCAGCTTGAAGAATGAGGCTGCAACAAACAACGGTGCTACGGAGGAGATCGTGGCTGCCAGCTACTTAGCTCTTCGAATCCCACAGGGTGACATGTCCAGCACTGTGGTGGTGGCATCGCAATGGCATCGCCAGACCATGTCCATCCCTGTGCGCGCAGCTCAGCGGAGTCGGGGTGTCGAGCCCCGCTCAGTTTCCGAGGCCATGCGCCGATTCCCTACCGACCCTGAGTAGCGGTCCCAGATCGCAGCTACCCTTCGCAGAGAGCCAGCGCATGCGCGTGCTGTCCGGTCAACAATGTTAGTCGTGCCGCCCAGGAGGCTTCAGGGCCAATTGGGCGTTGCATAAGTTAAGCTCAGCATGCCGCAAATATCCGCAAACCACGGAGACCTCCAGATGTCTCTCTAGTTCCATCGCATTGCCACATGATGGAGAACAGTTGCTCCAATTGCAGTCCTTTTGTGGCTCGAATCCAATGCGAGCTCAGCTTACTGTTTGCGAGCGTCGCGCATTTTGCGCGAAGGCTTGCTTGACTTATCCGAGAAGCGATTTCACTCACGCCACCTTATACTAGGACGCTGCTATGCTGCAGCATGACCTCGAGCCAGCATGTAATGTGGCTGGCTCTTCCGTATTCGTTCCTGGATTGCGCAGATGCCGTGAGCCGGGAACACTTGGTGCTTGCGCATGCCGTGGAAGTTACGCAAGCCAGAGCCGAGACTTCAGAGGACTGTTGAACTGGGGCCTGTTGTTGTGCTGGCTGGCTACTGGTGTCGCGAAGACGGCAGCCACAAGCATTTCTGCCGAAGACAGTGGATCTACAAAGCTTGCTGCCCAGACGCGGGCTTTGCTTAGCGTTCACCACCACATCACATCCAAAAGACAGGTGCCTAGCTCCCCAAGCGACCTTCCGAGTGGAGTCGTGATACCATCGGCAAGCGAAGCCACGCTGTGCATTCTTGCAGAGAAAGACGAGGCCGCGGACACAAACCGAAGCAATGTCTGCAACTTTTCATCCATTGCTGCGGTGCCCAAGGCAAGACGGGGTCAAAGCCAAACGTTTTCTGCTGCCCTTAGCATGCCGTGAAATGCTTCCTTTGACAGTTCTCACCAAAAAGCAGACCGAGCAGACCAAAACTCAGCAATACAAGCTTCAGAATGTAAGGCTCCGCAAATCAGCGTTCTGTTAGACCTCGAGCTTGTTGTGGCTTTAAAAGCTTTGATTTGGAGGTCAGCCATGTGCAGCAGAACCTACGCGAAGGTCACATTACGTTGAACTTGGAGCGATCAGAGCAAGAGATTCATGTGTTTGAGGATGCAGTACATTACAAGAGCAACTTGGCAGAAAAAGTTCTTCGGGGTCCTTTTTGCCTGATATCCCTGCTATAGTAGCTACTCTGCTCCAGGTGCTTACTATGGCACCATCATGGTTGGAACACCGCCGAAGCCTTTCACCGTCGTCTTCGACACAGGTAGCGGGCACTTAATCCTCCCCAGCTCATACTGCCACTCCAGCACATGTGACTCAGCCGCCTGCTTTACGAACTTCAGGGGTTTCAGAGTGTTCTAAGGGTGCCAAGCACTTCGAGACGTGTCGATGCAACGCTCACGTGCAGTTGCAGGTAAAGCTCACAGGCGCTACAGGCGAAGTTCTTCGGCCACGGCTCGGGACATACATCTGCATCATGAGAAGATGTTTAGACTTGCATAAATTAAGCATAAACATCATAGGATTGAGCTCAACAAAAAAACAGCAACAAAGGCCGCAAGAACTGCGAAGCAGACCTGTAACTGGCTGCAGGCCCCCTGCCTTTGAAGAAGCTAAGGATATCGACTGGGATGGGCGACTCGTCCAGATGGGCGAAGCCAGAGATCAGATCACTGTGTCCTTTGGTACCGGAGAAGTCATGGGCGTATTTCTGGAAGACTCGGTTTGCTTCGGGCAACGCGGGGACACGGCTAGCGCAGACATGCCAGCGCCTGGTGAAGGCCACGAGAATTGCCTGCGCATGCGTTTCATTGCGGCTACGGACATGTCTCCAGACCCCTTCGCAGATTTTGCGTTTGATGGAGTATTGGGTCTGGGGTTGGAAAGTCTGTCGCAATCACCATCCTTCAATTTTTTGCACGTTGCATCTGCTCTAACAGCTGAACGTGGAAGCGGCTTCAGCAAGACTTTCGGAATCTTCCTGGCAAGTCATGACGGGGAGACCAGCCAGATCACCCTTGGTGGCTGGGCAGAAGAACACATGGATGGGGAGGTGGCCTGGAGTCCAGTATTTCAGCCAGAGTTGGGGCGTTGGCTTCTGGAGATCAAGAGTTTGTCGGTGGATGACCATGAGATACCATTCTGCAGGCAAGGCTGCAAGGCTGTGGTCGATTCTGGCACATCAGTCCTTGCCGTTCCCAGTCCTTTGTTCGCCGACCTTTACATGAAGCTTTCTGCGCCTACCAGTGACGGTATGTGCTCCCAAAGCCCACAGCTAAGGATGGAATTGGACGGTTTCAGCTTGGTCCTAAACGGCAGTGATTTCAGCAGGCTGGAGCCCGGAGAGTCCGGAGAGTCGTTGCCCTCATCTTGCAGGCCGATGCTCATGGTCATGGATTTGCCAGAACCTCTGGGCCCCAAGCTCTTCATCCTCGGAGAGCCCATTCTTAAGAAGTTCTACACCATATACGATGCAGAGGCCTGGCGTGTTGGCTTTGGCCGAGCGAGGCACACGCCAAGTCGGCCAAAGGCACAGGGCCGCCCGCGGGGGAAGCTCGAACCACGCCCGGAACGCCACGGGCACTTCGCAAGGCCTCTGAGATCAAGGTCTCTGTGACTCTGTGACCTGAAAGATGCTGACAAATACTTTCAATGGGACAAACTCATTGGCATGTTAATTAGCTTTTATTAGCTTAAGAAGGCCGTCTCGTGCGAGCTGTGGAAAACTTGCGGCAACCAAAGCATACCCAAGCCTTCAGGGCATCTGCATGTGAAGAGTCGGCTCCAGTCCGGCTGCAGTCTACTATTCACGGCATTTCACTTTTGCATTTGTTGTCCATATCTCTGCGTTGTGTGTGTGTGTGTGTGAATCTGTGCCTGTTGAGTTGAGGCTCCTGGCGGCTGCGTGCAGTGGTTTAGCAGGCACCCCTACCCCTGAAGATGCAAGTGCGATAGCGACATTGCACGCGGCAGTGAGAACTTTGACTGGCACTCACTCGCAAGTTCTGCGCATCAACTTTATCAGACGTAACGCTCCTGCTCCTTTCGCTTCCAGCAAGCAGTGCCGTGTCCAGGACTTGCTGCCAATCATCCACTCAACCAGACCGACTCTTAGACTGTAAGACCTGATGCAAATGGGTTGACAGGCGGATGCTCACGAGAACTTGCGAGCTTGAGCTGTCCACGCCCAGCTTGCACTAGCAAGCTGATGTAGTAAAATACATCAAGCACAGGCAGATGCTCTCTCAAACATCAGGTCAGCACTTCTGGGCTGCCGCTCCATCGAGGCCAAGCGCCCTTTGCCGCCGCAGCGGTATCAAGACCTCGTTGGACCTTACGTATTGTAAGCGCCCCTGACTGCACTCAACCCGCCCTGTTTTCACAGGGGGCCCTGCAGTAGATGCTGAGAAGGGGTGGGGCATTACTTTTGAAGCAAGAGGTGATTGGGATGTCGCTGCTGGGAGGTCATCGTCTCTGCCATGGACGCATTCGTCCACCACGCCCCACTCTCAGATTCTATATTATATCTCTAGTCAGTAACGGGCATTCACTTGCGTGATGGGCGGGCCAGGCGCGGCTACAAACAATGGCCTGCGGAGCCTTGGGAAACCTGGCGGCGAACAGCCCCAACAATCAGGTGGGATACAGCAGGGCATAAATGCATGCGGTTCAACTTCCCAAAATAATTAGGTTGCACTCAGAAGGCTTCTGACAGAATGCTCCGTACGTCTCCTGGGACCGTTATTGTAGTTCAGGCGCAGACAAGCATTCATGTGCACAGGCTGCCATTGCCTCCCGAGGAGGCTTGCAGAGAGTCCGGCACTCCAGAGTCTGGTTACGGCCACAGTAGACGATTTTCGCAGAGCACTCCCAAGCCTAACATACCAGACGCCGATCCGAAATGCTACCAAGATCGCCCAAGTGAGTGACCTGCACGGCCCAGGTGGTAAATGTGCTAAAAAACCATCAGTCGAATCCTGTTGCTCGCAACTCAGACGCCACCAAGCACGCACATGCACTTGACTGCTCCATGTGCGAAGTGTTTCTTTGCAAGGGTGGCGCTGGGTGTTAGGGGTGGCCTGCCAGTGGTTCGCCATGAAGCTTGCGTTGGGCATCAGGTTCTGGCAGCATCGCTGGGAGCCATGAGCTCATCAACGCGGTCGCTTTTTAGTGGATATGTGTTCTTGATGACATCATGCTTCGCAGCACATCATCTAGCTAGATAGTCTGGCAAGTTCATGTACATGCATGTACATGCACGTATCTGCATGTGCTGTCCGCGATGGCGTTCATACTTTGGGTTGGCAGACACCTGGATCTTGCTGAGGCTGCTTGGTGTCTGATGAAGCAGCACCTTGCCAACACGGAAATGGCCGCGCAGCTAGGACAGCCGCTAGTTGCTCGTACACGGCAGCCTTTGCACGTCAGACTTCGGTCATATTCTGTCGTTGCGAGAAGTATTCTTGGAATGTGGTGATGTATCCCCAATGTGTTGCACATCCTTCTTTTTGCTTTCGAGGAGTTGCGGAACTCTCGGCTGCAGCGCTACAGAACCTCGGACTACAACACACAACCCCCGGGACCCCTGAATACCTACCCGAAAAGCTTTGCGTCATCAGCAGTTCGCTGTCAACTGTTCCTGTTGATGACTTACAGTTAGGTATTGTACATGCCCGGCGAAACTTCACATCCGGGGGGGGGGGGGGGGGGGGGGGCGACCCAAGAGTGTGTGTAAATCAGCGCTTCTAGCTTGAAAGGGAAGCAACGAGGTCAGAAGTACCAAAATCTTCGAATTGCCCCTCGAACGCCTCCCCCCCTCCCCTATGTTAAGGATTATTTTGTTTAGGGGGAATTTGGTGTCATGTCTTAAGCTAAGAATTGTCTAATTCAGATAGGACCAGAAGTTGCAGGCCATCTCGACTGCCGATGTGGCAACGTTCAGAACTTCATGCTGCCTTGAGATGTAGCGAAGTCCTTCCAGGCGTCACCCAGAAGAGCGAGGCGTGCGTGGCATGGCGTGCCGAAGCTCAGATGGCTGCCACTATCATCAAGAAGCAACCAGCAAACAAGAGCCCAGTAGAGACAGAAAGACACTAATTGTGCGCGCGCGCGTGTGTGTGTGTGTGTGTGTGTGTGTGTGTGTGTGTGTGTGTGTGTGTGTGTGTGTGTGTGTGTGTGTGTGTGTGTGTGCGTGTGTGTGCGTGTGTGTGCGTGTGTGTGCGTGTGTGTGCGTGTGTGTGCTAATCATACTGGTAAGACAGTTTGGATTGTAACAAGGCCCGCTCTTCCAGGGGCTTTGCACCGGTGCAGTCTTTGTTCAGGGTCAAGGCTGAGCACTTTCCATGTCCCTTGTCCGGTACTTACACCTACAAGAGTAGAAGCTGTGCAACGATATGCAATCCCAAATGAAGGCAAGGTAACTAGCTTCTTGGGTGCCTAGTCATCAGCTGCAGCATTGCTCTCCCGGGCAGAAACGAGCCTGATGTTGAGCACAGGAAGGGTTACTGGGAATCCAGCAGTCATCAGCCGCGCTTCAGCAGTCAGAAGCCACGATGTCTTGTCGTCCGCCATCCGGAATGGTTTGAGGTCCTGCGTGCTGCAGTCGTTGATTCCAGGACTGTCGGAGGCCAGACGGGCAGTCAACGCTGGATGTGCACTTGAAGCCACTTGAAGCGCCTTGATTCCTCACCTCCAAGTTATCCTCACACTCTTGATTGTTGCATGCTCCTTCAGTGTGGGAGCGGCAGACCGGATGCCTGCCAGCAGATGGTTGTGGCACAAGCTGCTTCGGATTCATGCCATTCAGTGGTTCAGCTTGCTGAAGCTTGTTTTCCAGGACCTAGGGGTAGCATGGTCGGTTGAGGGCAGCAGCTTTGCTCAAAGACCTGTCAGGCACTGGCTGCGCGAAGCCCAGGATTAGCAGAGGGGCAGGGTCAGAGCCTGTCAGGTTCTCTGTTACACCAAACAATCACGCTTAGACTACAATCGAATTGAAAGGTTAAGTGCGTGGGTTTGACTCCACGGCTAGGCTGGTGATTTTTTACTTGTAGCAGCAGCAAGGCGCTCTGGCGTGGTCGGCTGAAGCATGTAGCTGTAACGAATTCTCAACCCATACCGCCCATAAAGTAAAATCCTGCGAAGGGAGTAATGTGAGTAGTGTATGTAACATGTATAGAACATCTGGCGGATGCTGCTTTTTATCGGCAATCGTAGTCGGATGCGCTTTGCTGACGATGTGTGAGGAGCCTGTTGTCGTAGAAGATGCTCGTGTTTTCAATTCATGAAAGCTCTTTGATGTGCGGTTTGCTTGACAAATGCAGTCCATATGCTTGTCATGAAAAGATGTTGACTGGTGCGTAATGTTGGACCCTGTTTAGTAGGGGCCTCCGCTTTAAAGTCAGTTTGGCCGAATTATTCAGGACACCCTGACTGTTTGGGGGTCACTCTTTACAGGCAAATCGTCCGGGCGCCGTAGGAAAATTCCATGTGGCGCCTTTACAAAAGATAGCCGGGCATCGCTGCCCCTTTCAAACTTATCTAAACTCCTCCCTATGAGAATCATATAAACCCCCGGGAGCGTCTAAACAGGGACAAATCCAGCCTCGACTGTTCAGGGGGGGGTGGGCCCACATTAAAGAGGGTCCAACATTATTTCTCTCACGCCCTTGTATTCTACATAGATTTCATGTGAATGCATTCGATCACATGATCAGGAATCAAAATGTACTTGCAGTTGTTACTACTAGATTTTTCGATGCACCTTTGTACATGTTGCACTGCCTTTTCGTTTGGCTTGCCAGGACGCGTTTGAGCCCGAGCAAGATGCAAGGACATGTAGCCGTAGAGTATTGATACATCTAGGGCATACAGCGACTGGTGCAGATCTGCAAAGAAGCCTGGCACAGGCATAGTCAGACATGTGCAGACGCGCGCCAGCAGCAGTCGAACCGCGGCGACGCTTCATGAATTCCACCTCCAGCGCTCCAGCGCGGCTAGTACTGAGCAGTGATGATGCGCTGCGGACGCTTGCCGCATTTGGCTGCTCAAGCGCTATGCTGCAGTGCTACTGATTTGTTTTTGCATGATGGAGCTGAGCCAGATCGTACGTACAACGTCACAAGTTCAGCTGCCACGAATCCTCGATTTCTTCGCTCAGGAAGCTGCAGACTGACGTGGAGAGAATTCTGCAAGAGAGCCGCTCGATAAGATTGCACTGGGCCATTGCTCAAGATTTTTGGTGCCTGCTGATTCTGCAGAACAGAGATGCTATAAAGCATAGTTGCCACAGTTAGGCACTTACCAAAGAGACCTGCCGCAGCCCAGGCAAGCGAGATCTGCTGCGCTGTTGCTGAGCAATCTATTTATCTTGCTTTTGTTCTGGTTCCTTCTCCGAAAACAGCAACCGTGGAATGACCTAAGCTTTGCAAAATAGAGACGATTCGCGGCTGCGAGTTTTACATGCGCATGCGAGCCAGCCCCGTATAACTCACGACTCTCTGCATCATGGCGATTGAGCTCTGTCCGTAATCGGCTCAGGTTTAGAGAGCTTCACACAGGCTGCCCACAGCCAAAGCGAAGCCAGCAGCGGACTTGGCTGAAGCTAGGAATGCAGGTCTGTTTGCTTGACGTCCGCACGACTGCCCTCGTGTGTTTGGTTTTGTTGCTTGGGGTTGGGTTGGCTGAACACGCTAGTTGGGTTGGTTTTGTGTGCGTGCGTTGAGGTCTGTCCTTCCCAGTGCCTCCCATGGCCTTCGACCACCCGACTGCACCTTCTTGCTCACCGCCCACCTGGGGACTGAACGTGGCTGAGGAGAGAATCAGTACAATGCAGTCAGACTAAGAACGGATGAACTGCTTTGGCCCGGGAACTGTCCACTGCGCACAGGGCTACGGCAGTGATGCGGTTTCCGGTATCAGACAAGTTTCATGAATTGTTCAGGAGTTGCCCCGCTAGTTGCGCTCGGATCAGTGCAAGTTGTGGCATGGAGAGGATCACGAAGCCACCGACTGTCGCCCATCGATATGCACACCCATGGCTGAAGTCATCCGGGAGAAGCTGCCAGGACTGCCTGCAGGACAGCAATGGGCTGACATGCAATGGCGTGCTCTGAAGGACATGACCCATCGGATGATCAAAGCCATCTACGCCGCATGTCTTCCAGACAGAGGTGGGTCGCAGCCATCAAACAACTGTAACTGTAACACAACACTGGAACACTGTAAAGCCTTCCTTTCAAGCTGTGTTGTTCTTACAACCAATCAGCCAGACATCGCATAAGAAGGGGTAGGGCAGGGGTTTGGCAGGCGTCACATGCGCTGGAAGAATGCAGAGCAAAACGTCAATTTCATGCCTCTTGGTTGCCAGCCTGCTGTTCACTTTCAACTGACTCATGTGAGGATTGACGGCGTCGCTGCTGTTGTACTGAGGGTTCTCGACTGAGCCTAGGCAAGCCACAAAAAAGAAGAAAGACTAGCCGTATAACCTGAACCCTAAACCTAGCTAGTTTGGTGTGTTTGTTTGCTTCTGGGGTTTGATGGCTGCTCCGCACTTGGCCCTTTTCGAGCGTTTTTCTGCCATGGCTTTATGGGTACAAATTTTCCCTTTACCTTTGATGGACCAGACTATGTTTCCTGCAATGTAGCCTCTGCGAAATTTAGGCGGGTGGCAAAAACAGCCTAAGCCCTAACCTTAGTACGCATGGGTACAAAAAGCTTACTACACAAGAGTAAACGATACTCTCCCTCCCACCACAAGAGCCAAGAAACTCCGGGCAGAAAGCTGTGAAACTCGTCCAAACCCAGCGCGACTCACGCCAACAGGTCTAAGTCACAACTCGGCAAGATCATGTCCGAGGTGTGGGTAAGTGCCACTGATGCCAATGTTTGGGTTTGCCTGGGTGAACTTACTCAATCTCTTGTTGGGGGATCTTGTCGCTTGGGCGCCGAGCTTCGATCTTGGCAGCGTTCCCTGCGTGCGCTTGGATGCTTCCATTGTTCAGACTGGTCAAGCCTGCAATGTGATCGGAGGCAAGTTGGGCTGAGCGCATGGTGCGGAGCAAGTGTTTCGACACTGGACATCACTGGACAAACCCTAACCCTGTACGGCGAACGCAGCAAGTGCGAAACTGCAGAAGCCCGGGATCACCAGGAATCACTAGGAGTATTGAGTAATCGTGACATGCCAATTCTGCTGGTGGCATGATGCATCGCTTCAGAATAGAATGACTCAGGAATGGTTCAGTGGCTCTTTGATTCTGTTCAACTGCATTTTCATCGGCTGGCACACGCAAATGCTCGCCTCGCATGCCATCGAGCAGACAAATCTGAACATGGATCCGATTGTGTGACTTGGCTTTCCCAGATCATTGTTCCGCCCAAACAAGTTTTCATGTGCTTGTGTCGCCCGGGCACAGGCCGCCTAGTCCTGGCAACGAGCAGCTGAACTAGTCCGAAAAGTCAGAATCCACGTGTCCATGGACATGGAGACACGGGGCTAAAAGGATCTAGAAGGTGAAACGATGTATCACACGGAGATCAGACCGTGCAAGGCCGTGGAAGCTGTCGACGAAACAACAAGAGAAGTGTAGCACGCTGTCTGCGCGAGCGGAAAGAGATGTAGAGAGCCGGGCAGAGTTCCACTAAAGGACTCGGGTCAGGATACTTCATGTGACCTCGAAGCTCCGGAACCCCAAGCCCTCAAAATCCTCCCGGCATGTCTCAGGAAAACCTCTGCAGAAGTGTTGATCCTGCAGGTGGGATCGAAGGGGTGAGAACATGTTCAGTTTGTTCGGCTTCTTCAGTGTGTGGGCTGAGGATTTGTTACAATTCTTTCTTGAAGTTTCTTTGTAGTCCTATCAGGTTGTCTTCTACTCATAGGAATGTATTCTTTCGGGATTTTCGAGCCTGCGGAGTGTGAAGGTTGGCTTCACGATGTGTTTTCTGGTGGAGCTACTGGTGCGCTGGAAAGCCGAAGGTCTCACCGACTTTTTCAGGTCATCGGACGTGGTGTGGACCCTCGGCGTTTTCTAGCGTTCGGCGAGGAACACCTGAAAGGAAGGGGGATGAAAGGTGCCAAGTCAATGGCAGATTTCATCACAGAAGTCATTGATTTATTCCAATCAACCGGGGTCATTGGCCACATCATGGGCTTTGGTTTGGGTCTTTTTTCAGCATTCGTCCTGCCAGGAATATTCTCGACATCGTATGCGTCCTGATTGGTATAGTGGACGCTTCAGCAGAAATTGCCATGCTTGTCAACGGGCTCGAGGAGCAGACCCCTTTGCGGGGCTTCACTGTCATGAGGGTGCTGAGAGTGGTACGCATCGTGCGCGTGGTCCGTGCGACTAAGCTCAAATTATTTCAGGATGGCACAATGGTTGCTTCAGACGTTGCACTGTCTGAATCCGTCAACGCTGGTTTGTTGGCTGTGCCTGCCGCCTGCGCATGGGGTGAAGACTTTCTCCTTCTTGTGTTGACCTTCTTCGCTCAGCACTGCACTGCCAGAGAGTGCGTTTTGCATGGCACCAACTCGTACTTCTCCTTCGGGGGACCCGTCATGCCCAGCAGAAGAAGAAGAAGGAGGATAGGGAGAGAGAGAGAGAGAGGGCCTTTACCTTTACCTTACCTTACGATGGGTGGGAGTCCCTTCTCTGTGTGGTTGCGCGCGCTGTCATCCCCAAACTTTACGACCAAAGCGTCACACACGGAATCTCCGGAAGAATAGCCCAGATTCTAGCGTGGCAGTGGGGGATTATGTGGTTAGGGGATGGGGCGTTCTTCGCGGGAATACATGTCTCACGCCGACCTTGACGTGGACAGGGCGCGCCTTCTGCGCGGAGGGTGCGTGCGTGCACCCTTCAAGCCCCGAAGAAGAAGAAGAAGAAGAAGAAGAAGAAGAAGAAGAAGAAGAAGAAGAAGAAGAAGAAGAGGAGAGAGAGAGGGGTTTCAAGGGTAACCCCGGCCCTCAAGCTCAGAAGATGAGGAAGAAGAAGCAGAAGAAGAAGAAGAAGACGATGAAGAAGCAAAAGAGAGAGAGAGAGAGAGAGAGCCGAGACCCCTGCTACTGTAGCGGTAGCCTCCTATGGGCCAGTTGTGCACATACCATCACGTACTCCTGTAGCAACCGCACAGCCATGACATGCGCCCGCAGCAGACATGAAGCAACGTCAGACTGGCAGGCTCCCCCCTTCACGTTGCGCCAGGATTCTGTAGAGTAGCACACCCAGCACACCGTAGCAAGTGTCCGACCAAGGTGATTCGGATCATGCGCTTCTTCCGAGAACTCCGCATGATGATATTCAGCACGGTGAACTCCCTGAAGTCTGTCGTTTGGGTGATTTTGTTTCTGTTCGGGTTATTCTACATGTTTGGCGTGGCTTTCACCTCAGCGGTCGTCAGCTACCTCGACACACTCGAGATGAGAAAGCAGTCCGAGAGCGCTACATTGCAGCTGCATTTCGGCACTCTGGATGTCTCCATACTCACCTTGTACATGGCAATGTCTGGCGGACAGAATTGGCACGTGTACTATGATTCCTTGGCCACTATGAAAGGCGGTGAGTTTTGGTGCCTGTTGTACATCCTGTACATCACTTTCGCGATGTTTGCAGTGGAAACTTATCGTCAGGTTAGCATTGTTTCTTGCAAATTGTTGGTATGTCTTGAGTTGCTGCCGATCATGAGCCAAGTCAAAAAAACTTTGACGAGACCATCAGGTCAACATCGTCACTGGCGTGTTCGTGGACACAGCTCTCCAGTCGAGCAAGAATGATCGAGAAGTGGTTGTGCAGGAGGAGCTCGAGCAAAAGCATGATTCACGGCCAAGATAACTTCCACGACGACAATTAGCAGAGGTTTGCTTGTAGGAATGCGGCAGAAATGCTGAGCTCGTTTGTGCTACTTGTGGCCTAAGCAGCGGACTCCCCCAATCTCGTATCCAGATGCAACGACAATGAGTATGTCGTGACACTGTCGTGAGTTCACACGCTCAAAGCCGACACCTGCAAAACAAACTGTGGTACCAACTGCCGAGGATTACCTGCGACAGCTCCATCAGCTCTTCCAGGCTATCGATGAGAACTCCGAGGGTCGCATCACCCGCGAGGCGGGTCGCTTGAGCAAAAGGATCCAATCCAGGACCCAGAGACAACTCCGAGACTGAAGCATGTACACGTTGTTACAGTACTTACTTCTAGTTGAGTAATGTTGCACTCGCTTTAATAAACAGCTCCCCCCCCTCCCCCCCAACAAATTTGGACCCTCTAGAAACGCGTGGCGCGGCGACCCCCCCAAACAAAAATGGGGGGGGGAACTGCCCTCAGGGCCAGGACCTTAAGGCCTGAGTCTTTCCAGCCTTTAAGATTCCTGGAGCCCAAGGCCCTCAAGGCCTCAAGCCTTACTGCGTAAGCCCTGAACCCTAAACACAAACCTTGGGTTCGGCCGGTCCACACTAACAGTCACCACCAGCAGACCCACAAATAAAAGCACCCGGCAAATGCCAAAAAATTGACTGAGATTCCTGCTATTCCTGGTGCTATTCCTGGTGCTATTTCTGGTGCATTTTTTTTGTGCTATTCCTGGTGCTATTTCTGGTGCATTTTTTTTGTGCTATTCCTGGTGCTATTTCTGGTGCTATTTTTTGTGCTATTGTTTGTGCTATTTCTGGTGCTATTTTTTGTGCTATTGTTTGTGCTATTTCTGGTGCTATTTCGGGTGCTGTTGCTGGTGCTATGTGACTAACAATCACCATCAGCAGACCCACAAAAAACAGCACCCGGTAAATGCTAAGCTGATAAAATTGACTGGGATTCCTGGTGCTATTTCTGGTGCTATTGTTTGTGCTATTTCTGGTGCTATTTTTTGTGCTATTCCTGGCGCTATTTCTGGTGCTATTTTTTGTGCTATTTCTGGTGCTATTTCTGGTGCTATTTCTGCTGCTATGTGACTAACAGTCACCACCAGCAGACCCACAAAAATAAGCACCCGGTAAATGCTAAAATTGACTGGGATTCCTGGTGCTATTTTTGGCCTGTGTGTTATAAGGCCACGGCGTTATTTGACTGTTAGTGTGGACCGGCCGAACCCAACACAAACCCTTTAAAGAAACAATCATCCGAAAAACACTGTGTCTTCTAGAAGGTGACCAGGCAAACCTACCAAAGACAGTCCGGCCGGCGCGTGGGCCTATCACGCAATTTGTTTGGGGCCTCGTTTCGTAATGAAATTTCATAAGGCTTTACATGGAACTGGCCGGGCTTAGATTTCTGGCTTCTCCGGGCTCTGGCTCTTTAAGATTCCTGGAGCCTAAGGCCCTCAGGGCCTCAAGCCTTACTGCCTAAGCCCTTAACCCTACACGCAAACCCTTAAATCAAACAACCGTTCAGGAAAAAGCTTTTGACAATAGTGGGTTCCTCCAACAAACTCGGTTCGCAGAAGAAAAATTGTGGAAACTTGTGATTATAGAGGATGCATACACTAAACCGAGTGCAACATTAGCGCCCGTCCGGCTTCGGGGGATACATGGCGAGGGTGTAGGGGATTGTGGGGGTAGTTCCGTACCGTAAAGCACGGCGGTTGTGTTGCGCGTCCGCTTGGGACAGTTGTGAATCCGATGCCCTTATTCGCAGTGCCACACCAACACCCTCAACAACAACGTGCTATGATTTCCCAATGAGGTATGACGGCAAAACCGGTCCCCTCTTCGCACGTTCGGTGCTCCAATGACACATCGGCCTCAACTATGAACTCATCCCAGCCTCTTCTCACCTAACAGTGAAATCCTGCACTAGGATCGCCACCGCCTCTGAGCCCTCCCTTCCATGCGTGGGAGCAATCTTGGAGTTTTCTTGGGTATATTGCAAGATGACACACCAGAAATCCGTGGAGAGTGTTCTGCAACTTCATATTCCCAATATCTAAAGAACTCCAGTAGTAAAGAAGTTCCAGAAACATCAATATCTATCATTCTTTCCAGCCAAGTTTTCCAGGCATCGTGAGGCGATTTGGGAGCCTCCCCTTTAAAAAGTCAAATGCAGAGGGCCCCCACACACAGGCGACCCTCAGTGGGCCCCTTTCGCAATTCGCAGGGGGGGAGGGGGGGAGGGGGGGGAGGGGGTAACACAGTAAAAGAGCGTTGCCACGCCTAGCCTAGCAATGCTTCCTTTGTTGCAGCTGTATTCAAGACACAGCTATCAATGCTGCCAGCTGCACTGCACCCTGAAAAACGTTCGTTATGCTCCGAGACTAATGAACTTCTGTGCGCGGGAGAAAGCAAGCGGGCCCTGAAACACCGTCACCCCTGAAAGCATGATGCCACGCATATGCGTTTGTCGGAGTGAGGCAACATCGTTTTGCAGGGTGTCGGTGGGTTCCACGCCAGGTCTTGCAGCAAGCCTTCAAGCATGACACCCGGCTCCAAGTTGCAGGCGGTCTCGGATTTTTCCCTTCAGATTTTTGTTGCTCTGGGTTTATACAACAGCCCGGCGCCCCTCCATAGCATAGTTCGCCCAATGCTTACAAACAGAAAGTCAAACAGAAGATCTCGGCCTGACCGCAGAACATGCCGAAACTGAGGAGACAATCCTGGCATTTTTCTCGCACTTGAAGATCGACGTGCCTGATGCAGCTTGTTTGAGAGCAACAAACAGTGTCAAACGACAGGATTTGAGATAACAAAGTGGCGGGAGATGTTGTGAAGCATGGCCCAACACACATGCGCCCTGAGCCCGACATAAGCCAGCTGCTATTTTGGGTGTGATGTGAGCAAACCCGGACTTCCATCCTGACGAATGACTTTGCTTGCAAGCATTCTTTAAGGCCACAACTCTGTTCGACCTCCTGGACTTCGACCAGTCCGGCGCTATCGATTTGGAGGACACGCTCACATGGCAGCTGGGTCGAAGAAGCAAGGGGACAGAACGAAGTGGGACCCGAGCACGCGTTCATGCTGCTTGAACCAGGGCCCCAAAGCCCTGTGGTTTTCGTGTGGGCCTTTGGACCTGCTGTTGTTTGCCAGGGCAACACGGAGGTAGGTCATCGTCTGACGAGCAAGGCACCCATTGCACGAACACAGTGCGGCAGAGCTGGGTACCGCGAAACTTCTGCGGACCCGAGGCAAGGTTTACGAAGGGTCCAAGAGTTAATTAGCTATGAAAAGTAAAATGCCTGTGCGAACTCAGAAAATTTAAAAGTTAGAAAACAAGCCAGCAAAAGGCCAGGGGACCAAGCGTTGCCTGCCTTTGTACTGCCCAAAGTTTGTTCTTGTGACTGCGGCAAGTCGACTTGTGACCTTGCTGCTCGGCAAGCGCTGTGCGAAACGGTTCGCCATCAAGACTTCCCTTTCCAGTCATCTTTGCACGACGTCCATCAAGCGGAAATCCGAGTAGCCCAGAAACAGTCGTGCTTCACCTCTGGGTAGCATTCATAGGCTCTTGGGCCCTTGGGCTTACTGCGGACACTTGCTCGTAGGAGTTTCTTCATGGTTGCTATCAGCTCCACGGCGAAGCGACACATCTGGAAGCCAAGATGATGCAAGCAGAAGTAAGGCCGGCCACGTGGGTTGTGCTTTGTGCGGTTTGCTCCGTGCACAGCAGGTGGACCTAGACATACTTATGCCTTTGTGCAGCTTGTGCAGTGCATTGCAGTGCGAGCACGTTGGCCAGAACACATGTGCAAGGTTCATGAAGGAAAACTTGGTGAGCCTTGTTGAGGACATGCGCAAAGTACACGCGCAACTACTGTTTTTAAAGCGCTTGCCGTAGCAGCCAAAGAGTGGCTTCCCGCTTTTCAATCTTTGAGATTTGCTCCAAGATCTTCCATATGCTCAACCATGCTCATGCTCACGCCCGAGGGGCCGATGCCATGTGAGCAAGGACAGACGCCTCCTTTCCATAGATCTGAGATCGCTTTGGACTGGACCTAAAGCTTGCTTGGATGTGATGCCTTACAATGCCAGTTCATGGAAGAGAAGGGCGTGGGGATAACACCAGACATTTTGAGACAGAAACGGCTGCTAGGTGGAGTAATTCGTGCATACATTCCTCCCTAATTATTAGAATATATGAGGGGGGTCCAGCGTATTACATCAATTCGCGAGAAAGTTTTAATTGGTGAAGCGGCATGCCAAACGTCTCAGAGGCCACACAGACATGCCTTTGTCTGCATCGTCAGAGTGTACACTCATCTCGCTTCACCGGGTAGCCAGCTCCCTCCCGATCTGTCGAAATCAGTTCGAGGGTACGAGCGACAGCTGATCTTGCGCATGCATTCGGCAGCTTCCATTTAGAACGGAAGCCTGACGAGAGCACATTGCGCACTGCCAAATACGTTGTCTGGCTTAGCCAAAGCTAGGTGCATCGCAGAACTCGCGGCCTGTTTTCTGAAGATCCAGAAGTGAAGTCCAAGAATACAAAAAAGGCGACCTCTGGGACAGGCAAATGGCTCCAGTCTGGACACGTTGACATGCGTTCTGCTGCTGGAGCATGGCTGAAGTGAAGATTACTCTCTTGCAAGCCTTGCGAGCGAGCAACTCAACCACAACTGATGCCGAAGCTGAAGACTACATGTTGGTGTGCCGATGCCCTGAGGTCGCGAGCAGCAGCACTCGGAGAGCTTGGTGGGCATTGCAGAATTCCTCATTCAAGCAGTGTCAGTTCCCTCCATCCGACTGGAAGTAGCTGACCATGTGAGTAAGCAACATGTCCCAATTTGAGCCGGACGTTCGGAAGGGTACACCAGAGTTGCACTTGATGGATTCTTGGGCTCAAGCTGACGAATCGGAAGTCAATAAGCAGCTGAACAGCGCCCAGATGCGCCCAGTTTTCAAAGACGCGTAAGCACATATCATGTCATGTGGCTGTGTGTCGAGAGCTTTTGGCAAGAACGAGCTGTCATACCGTTTTGGCCGAGAGCCTTCAATTCCTGTGCCAGGCCGGAAGACACAACCAACACCTGAGCCCGATCGTGGCACTTGTGTTTTTCAGCGTGGTTTGGCGCAGGGCCAACGACAATCAAGAATAGGACCGACATCTGCGGCCGCTTTAACCTAAACTTGCACTGCCCCTGGGCTGCTGGGTGCATTGGCCCTGGGTTCACCTTGCACCGGCCGACGGGCACTCTTCATAGAACAATGTGCCTGTTGCATTCAAAGCTTCTGCAAACATAATTAGGCATAATACCAGTAGCGTGCAGAAATGTGAGAAAAAGCCTCTTCTGCAAAACCAAACCGTGTGATATCAACGCAGTACATCGGATTCCTTGCACCATTGGTGACGCCTTCTGCTTCTTGGCACGTTGTTGCAGAATTCAAACGCTAGTAGGATATCTCTGCTGAAAGCGAGATCCTTCCACAACCATGACCGAAACTGAGGAGGAGACTACTCTAGCGGTCTGCAGTCGGAAGAATCTCGTGGGTGGAGGAGAAGGCCCATAAGAAGCAGAGCATACAAATCAGCACGGCAAGTACTGGGCCTCTCCTCGGGCAGGTTAGCTCGCAACTCCGCAAGTTGACAGGCTCTGGTTGGAGGTGCCGAGGTGGGGGCGTGAGGGTAAAGGCAAGAAAAGCAAGGCTGCAACTTGTCTGTCAGCGGAGGAAGCATGTTCTCACCCAGATGCTCAGCCCTAGATTCAGAAACCGTTCCATCCCGCGTCTCCATCACTCGTGGCAATGTGAGGTTCACGTTCAAGTTTACTACACTTTTAGTTTCTGAATCTGGCGGGTGTCTCCCCACAGAATCCGAGGCTAAGCGAAAAGCCTGGATGGTGCCAGTGCCCATTGAATCATTGAACATTGACAGCAGACAGGATGCAGCCACTGAGCACCTGCACCTTCCAAGGCCAGCCCTGGAGGAAAACTTTTTGCGTTTGCGCATATTGCACATTCTGAAATTAGGTACGGCAAGGGCACTTGAGGAGTTGCTGGCATGCTGATGGCCATTGCGTCTGATGCGAGACAATCACCAGGCTTACCGTCACCTCACTCAGTAGCTGAACAGGTCTGCATGCAGTCCGCAGTCAATCAACTGTCAGGCAGTGATCCCCCAACTGCATGCGTGCTCAATTATGCCCATCCAGTTGCAAGTCTGCCATCCCATCCAGTTGCAACATCCCCCCTCCTCCCACTGCACCCATTCTGCTTCACGGATTGAGTGTTTCAGAAATAGCGCAGCTAAGCAATGACGCTGCTTGAAGTTACGCCGCATGATGCCAGGCAGGCCTGTCACATATCCGACACCATGGCTGGTTCAGCGCACGGCGGATCAGAAAGATCTCATGACGCATGGCAAGCGGCTAGTTACTAGTTTGGCCAAGGTTGTCCGCGAGGCTGGCCGAGATCCGAGCCACGCTGGTGACCCGCCCTGTGGGCATGGTATGACACGACACAAGCAGCGGAATCAAGCTGGTATGTTATGGTCGTAGTACGACTATCCAACGCCACGGCTGTTCTGCAGAGCATCGTTTACACCCGGGATCTGTCAATGCTCTTCCTGACTTCTTGATGAGAGAACCGAGGAAGCCACCAGAGCTCCACAGTTGCGCGTTAGCATGGTTTAGGGTTTAAGGGTTTAGAGTTTAGGGTTTAGGCTTTAGGGTGCATCTGCTGAATAACCGGGCCAGGATGCCTTGGCAACGGACCACTGCAATGCCTGTATGGGCAAGGCGTGCTTGCCCAAGACGTGTCAAACCTCAAGAATGGACGGCGGCGGTCTCTGGGGCTGAAAGTCACATTATTTTCACGCTACGCATGCTACGCGACCCGCCTCGGCCTGACCCAATGCAGCTCCCGGAGAGGGGGCCAACGTTGGGGGGGGGGAGGTGGGCTGGGGGGGGGGCTGGTAGGTGTAAGAGAAGGGTTCACTTCTGTTTCTCGCTCATCGGCGACTTCTGGCCAACGCCATGGGGTCAGGGGTTGGGGTTGGGGGGGGGTGGGGGCTGGGGTGGTTGGGGCGCGGGTGGGGTGGGGGAACTCGGTTTTTTGGTGTAGATTCTGTATTGGGAGCCACATTGCCCCCTGGTCCCCGCAAACCGTCCGGTGTCAGAGGGGCGGCCTCGGCGGATTAAATTGGAGAGAACGGCCACCACGAAGACAGAGAAGTCACAATCAAGTTGAACTTAGTTGTGGGGGCGAACCAGGACTGCGGTATCTGAAGGGCTGTTTGTATGCTTCTGCCGTTCCTGCACCAGGCGTGGATAGTACCATGACATTCCCCTGGAAGCATTTGCACAACCTTAGCATTTGGATACGCCTTGTCCCCACTGGAAGACTGGAGCTTGTTATTCATACTAACCGAGGCCTGCACCCGATTTCTCATCGGTGCCGGAGCTTCTGAAGGAGGCAGGACAGGGACTGATGGTGTGTACAATGCCTTGCCCCGGCATTTCTGCAGCATCTTGCAATTGATCATCTGATCCACTGGCATATACACATGCGAGAGGTCACTGGCATTTATGATCACCTGCCGCCGCGGGAACGCCGCTCTGGCAGCAGTTCTAGCTGTGAAGGTCGGCAAGCTTAGCAATCAGACGTAATGGGCAAGCACATGTAACAGCTCGAGCACGCCCAGCATTGTTCGCCGGATGCCACCTCAGCAAAGCCACGCGGATGAAAGCTGCAAATGCCAAGCGCTCACTGAGGTGTGAAGGCTGACATGATGGTCGGCTGTGGCTGCCTCCTCATAGTGAAACGCACCCTGAAAAAAGAGCCAAATACCTCGACATGTCGTACTTCCCACAGCGGTCAAGACAGTCATGAAATGGCGAAGAACGCCCGCAAGCTACGCATAGGCCATGACACTGAAGGCTGGCACATGCTGCGAGAGGACGACAAAGCTTTGGAGCCCCTGCTGCGGGTCGCCCACTCTTCCGGAGGCATTCCACAAAGCCCTCCGGTGATCTTCCGCGCATTCGGCATTTTGAGCATAGTTCCACTACACAGGCACAGCAATTCAGACGTGGCTGCAGTAGATTCAGTAGATGCTGCGCGGCGAAAGACACGCAATTGCTTTCCAGGTGTGGAGGCCGGCGATCAACTGTCTGCAATCCTAGTGGACCGCACCTGAGTCGGGAGGGGTGGGGGTTCGTCTGATCCGTCTCCGCTTCATTGTTGCCAATATTCGCGCGGCATCTCGTCGGTCTGTTGCCTTCACCTTCAAGAAGGCCATGCAGCTCCTTCGGAAGAAAAGCCGCTGGGGTCAGATCATCCAAGCAGGCTGCAGCTCGCTGTGATTGCTCTGTGGTCGAAGTACGGATGCCAGCTTCTATGCAGAAACTCACGGCTCCTGCAGGCGATAAAGCGTTTGAAGTTGCAGGTGGGAAATGGGTGGCTGCCTTGAACGACGTGATGTGTCTCGTGTCAGGGCAGTGGCAGCAGGGTGGGGCCAGGTGCATAATGAAGTAGAGTTGTTATCACTACGCCTTTCTCTCTTTTTTTTGCAACTTGCCATGTTTGTAGACGTGCTCTACGTCTGGATCTTTCTCGGCACAAGTAAACCCAAAGTAAGACCATAGATCTCAAGCAGACATCCAAGTCGACGATTGCCTTGGACAGGCAGCATGGCCTGTTCAACGGAAATGATCGGCATTCTGCTGATGCTTGGTTCGGGTGTGTCAGTGACTTGTGAAATGGTCACAAGCAAGATCATTGAGAGCATGCACTGGCCGTATTGGTATCTTTTGGCAGCTTGCTGCACTATGGCAGGCCAGGCGAACGGACTGTACATTTGGTACCAGGGTGTGAAGTGCCCGCCGCGTCGGGACATCAAGTGGGTGCTGGCACGAGCGATCTTCGAAAACTTGCACTGGATGTTGGCCATTTGGGCAGTACTTGTTGGAGCTGCACCGGGCGATGTGGCAGCACTCACCAGCATCGACATCATTGCAGCCGCCCTTCTGGGCCTCATCTTTCTTGGTGAGAAGATGACCATTATCCACTTTGTGGCCCTTGTCACGTCGCTTGCCGGCGCCCTCTGCATCTCGCAGCCGCAGTTCTTGTTTGGAGCCTCGGATGGAGCAGGGCAGTCTCCACTTGGGTACTGCATGGCTATGCTGTCCGGGTGTTTCCAAGCAGGTGCTTTCGTATGTGCCCGAAAGTCGGCGCACATCCCTGTCTCTCTCCTCACGGTCGTCTCTTTGTTCTTTGCCATGCTGATGGCCTTTCTTCCACCGCTTCTCAACCTCACCTCTCATGAACAAGACATGGCAGAGACTGTCTTCAAGCAACCCTGGCTGGCTTTGGGCCTGCTTGCCATCCTTACCACCTGGTGCTTGTTCTCCATTGTGCTGCCCGCAGCGGGCGCTACAAGATGTCCTGCTGCTGTTTCCGCCACCATGTTCACATCCTCCAGCATGATCTCTGGCTACGTCGCCCAGACGGTCCTCTTTCATGATGCGCCACGACCTTTGAAGCTCATTGGTGCAGGATGCATGCTGTTCAGCGTGGTGATCATGGCTCTGCGTTGCCAGGCCAAGGACATGCCCGAGGAGCCCGAGCCAGTTGAGCCATCATGCATGGAAGCAGCCGATCCTACTGAAGAGGACGAGACCATGAGCCTCGGTTCTTTCGTGGCATCCGAAGTCTCCTTCGGCTCGAGGTTTGGCCGACTGCGACGCCGGAGCAGCACATCCGACACCAAGCCAACACCGCAGCGGATCGGATCCTGCTTGCCGGTTTTCTCATTGTCTACAATGTCCACCTGAGGCGAGCCCCCATCAGCATTCGTTGAAGGGTGAAAGTGGGGATGGGCATTGGAGTTGCCCATTGCCAGCCTCATGACGTAGGACGCAGGTTTCGAGACCGCGTCCGTGGACAACCACGAAATGTTGACCATAGCTTGCATGGCAAGTAGAGCCGCAAAAATTGTTTCCGCATCCTTTGTACAGTCTTTCAGGGGCCTCCAGGCGATGCTCTCTGGTTGCTTATGTTGCTGATCATGATACTGTACATGCCCCAACAGCACAATCTCGGACATAATCTGCTACCATATTCGGAGGCCCAGGTTATCACCAGGTTGTTGTCTTGTACAGGGCTTCTGTGAGCCATATCAGTACATATCGCAGCTCTGCCATGCGAGGAAGGGTAATGTACAGAGCAAAATGACTCCGGGCTCTTGGACAGTCTTGAACCATTTCTTTGCAAAGCTGCGCACTTGCCGTGTGGAGTCTCTGCGATGGGCTCAAATCGCATGTCGTTGCGGAGGAGAGCAACACTGAAAGGCCGCAACGCCACCCAACCTCACGGTATCCAGTGCACCGGACCGAGCATCCGAGAAGTTTGTGCAAGCTCTGTGCCGCTGGCCATGGACGCCTCTGAAACCTCAAATGCCGTTGACACTGCCTGAATCCTGCCGCAGCAGCCTGGTCGTCTGCGGCCTGTCAGGAAAGCGCCTCTTGGCCCCATTAGCTGGGGAGTTCCAGTGATGATGCAGGCTAACTAGCTCTCTCCTCCCTATACCCTTGCGAGTTGTGGAATGTTGCAGAAGCAATGCAAGCCCGCTTAAATTAATTTTAAAGCTACGCGACCCGCCTCGGCCCGGCCCAGCGCATCCGCGTGAGCATGGTGATTCCGCAGCGCCCAAGTCGCTGGACCCCAAGCAATAAGGGTTGAGGGTTGAGGGTTGAGGGTTCCGGGTTTATGGTTTATGGTTTGGGGTTTGGGGTTGAGGGTTAGTTTAGGGCTCAAGGTTCACGCTTTGGGGTTGAGGGTTTTTTTGGGTTTAGGGTTCGGCTTGGAGTGATCGTAGGGTTGAGCTTGCGACTCTTGGCAGGGTGGGGGGGAGGGGGGAGGTGGTGGGGAGGGGAGGGGGGGGGGCAGGGGGGGGAGGGGGGTGGGGGGGAAGGGGGGTCGGAAAGGGGGGGTGCTGGGAGGGGCTTCAACTGCCTCTGGTCCTGGCGAACCGTCCGCTTGCGGACCCCGGTTTCCAGGGGGGGTACCCATTTGAGGCCAAAAAAAGGGTCCGAAAAAGGCTTTGGGTGTGGGGGGAGGATTTGGAGGGGGGGTGCCTGTTCTGACAACCTATACACCTCCGGCCCGAGGCCTCGGCGGATAGGATGGCCGCACTGAGGTTACTCAGGCGTTGCCGAGTTTCACGAGCTGCTGAAGCCGCTATTGCCTGCCGATGTAGCTGCTTTGCTTGGAGCGGAAATTTTCCTTTTGAAAGGATTTTGCGCCAGGATGCCGAATCACTTTGACTCTCCAGCCGTCCTGGAGCTCAGGTGCTAATTCCTCGCGATGGCCTTTGTTCACTCGAGGCTCTCCACCGCTACGTCAGGCTGGTACCTTGCAAGGTAGGTCCGTCGGTGCGGGTCCTGAATCCTGCGTACCTATGGGTACCTTGAAGGTGGGCGTCGGCCTGCTTCTTCATCCGTATCGAGGCGCCATCCAGCGTACGCGAGGCACGGCACTGCTTCGGGCACAGTTAGGCAGTCTTTGCAAGTATTGTTCAGATTCGATGGAGGCAAACGGATGGAAAAGCAAGTTCGCTCCAGAAGACCTCGTGCGTGACGAGCACTGGACAGAGGCCTACCAAAGCCGGCGCGATGTTCCCCCAAGAACGTTACCGTTACTCCCCACGATCGATGCAAGCCTGCACAGTCCCGTAGCTGATGTGCTGTTTGCTGCAAAGGTGGGCCTGGATGAGTGGGAGGGTTGGGATGCCGCGGCTTGGCTTTATGACGAAAAGCCAGCAGAACTCTCAAACGAATCATTAATACAACTGTCGTCATGCTTAGAATTGCAAACGCTTCGCGGGAGTTTAGGGGGCTTTTCGGGTTGAGAGTTTAAGGGCCTTATGGGGGGGGGGGGTATTTGAGTAATCTAAGGCTTCAGGGGCTTAAAGCATCTCGAGTGCATCCTTTAGATGTTTGTGCAGGAAGCTCTGACGCTTCCGCCCGAAGCCCTTCCGAATAACTTCGAGGGAATTAGTGAATGATGCTGCCACTATCACGTCTTCTGTCTACCATGTCCGGTACCTGGAAGGTCGTTCAGAATGATGGCGACCAAGAAGCTTTACTTCAAACGGTTGCAAACTCAGTTTGGGCTTCTGTGGCGGCAGTCGGGTTCGGCAACTACGGTAAACCCACGGCTGTCGGCATCCCATTTTCCATGCCCAAATCTGCTGGCAGTGAGGCAAAGAATTTGGTGCCGCGCATTGTCACACTTTGCCAGACACCAGCGCCCTGAGAAGCAACCAGGCGTAGGCAGACGCTTTGACCGTGCTTCACTTGCACGACGCACAAGGCGCTGACGAAACACCATCCCATACCAGAGGCGTCTGTGAAGCGCACGGAGCCTCTCGGTGGCAAGAAGTGGTTAGAACATGAACTCAATGGCATCACTTCAGGGACAGCCACGACTGCCGCTCATTGACCGCTTGAAACACACAATACGAGGTTCACCACACCTATGCAGCTTGGCTGGCACGAGCATGTGTACATAAACAAGGGCATAAACAAGTGCGAACTCTTGCCCTGCGGATCCTTCGTGACACTATATCGGTCACTAGGCTAGCTGGCCAGGCTAAGTGCCTGAGCAAGTGCCTGAGCATTGCTCCAAGAGTTTATGAAGAAATGCAGATCGCAAGGCCGGATTGCATGAATTTCGGCGGGGCTGAAGCATACGTCCCTTCAGTCCCCGCGTCAGCTGCGCGTGCAGAGGCCAGGTGCGCGTAGGACATCACATCCCCGCGCTTTACGTGCATGACCTGTCGTAGCCGACAATGGGAATGAGAAAGAATTTGGGCAAATCGAATCGCATTTCGGAATCATTGTACATGATTACAAGGCGCTGAAGAAACATTATCCCATACCAGAGACGTCCACGAAGCGCGCTGAGCCTCTCGACAGCGAGATGGGTTTAGAACATGCTAGCATTGCAGGAACAATTGCCACTGCCACCCATTTGCACGATATATCTATATATATATATATATGTATGTACATATTCTATGTTTATGTATATTTATTTATTGATTTGTTTTTTTATATTCATATTTACATATTTATTTATTCATGAACTTATGAGTTTATATTATGTTCTATTTTTATTTTTGTGTATTTGCTCATTTATTTGTTTAGCTTGTCTTCGTTATGCACGCATCCAATATGAGGTTCACTACACCTATGCAGCTCGGCTTGCACAAACATGTTTGTATAACTTCCGCACTCTTGCGCTGCGGATCCTTCGGTGCACTGGCTCCACGAGTGCGTGAAGAAATGCAGATCGCAAGGACGGATTGCATGAATTTCGGCGGGGCTGAAGCGCATGTCCCTTCGGCCCCCGCGCCAGCTGCGCGTGCAGAGGCCAGGTGTACGTACGACCTCACATGCCCACAGGCATGAGTGAGCCGTGTCATAGTTCTCCGAGCACCTGCAAGTTGTCGGTTTTGCGTCGACGTTTCCTGTTCAGGTGGAACACCCCCTGGCTGGTTTCGAAGAGCGTATTCAGACAGAGCAAGTCGGAACTGCAGGATGGAGAGTGACATTCACGTCAGTTAAATGCTGGGCTAGTCAGATCAGAGTCCTGGCGTTATTCTCCCGGAGGATCACTGCGTATCTCTGCTGGCCTATCAGGCAGCCCTACGGAGCTCTTGCAGCGGGACGATGAGGAGAAGCTTGCTGAGGCTTGGAATTCGGACTTCACCACATTAGACACTGAGACTGACATGGAAAACTTTTGACAGCCTTGGTAGTGATAGGGTAAAATTAAGTCATTGCGCATGTCAACGCCCTGAAGTCAGGAGCCGAATCCGACAGCAAGCACCTCGGTCGAAGCTTGTCAGCCCACCCAGCCCGGCACTTGGAAAACTGCAGCTTCGAGATCAGAATGCATCGAGCGTGCCGGCAGAGGCTTCCAGTTCTAAAGTTGTACCAGAGTTTCTAGAATCAGGCAATGACAGTCATCCAGCAGTGATGCCGGAGACTTTTCAGCTTGAAATTGAACTAAGCTGTCAAGAGCTGCCATGAAGTCTGAAAGTCGTGGGGATGAAGGGCACAAGCAGACTCAAGCAGGATACAGCGAGTAGCTGCAGATATCCTGACACTTCGACGTGTGTGTTTTTGCCACGCGGCCGAAATGAGCCTAAACGTTGCTTCCAGTCGGCGGCGCGGTTGATGACTTGAAGTTGTCTGTGCAACAGCCGACTCTCTTCAACGAGCAGGGCTTGAACTCTTTAATATGGGGACACTATCTAGGACCCGGAGTAGGCCTTATTTCCTTTTTTTAGGGTTGGGGTTCCCTTATAATCTCCTTAAAACCCAAAAGGGCACCCATTTTATTCCTAGGTTACTCCTGGTCTAGGCATGTGTTTGCCTTGTGGTGCGTTAGAGAAGTCACACGTGCCATTCATAGTTGGATCGACAGTCCGTGCTTTGATGGGAGCCATCAAGGCAAGACTTTTCTTTGTTGCACAAGGCGGTCAGAATCGCCAATGCCCTTTATCTTTGGGCTTGAATGCAACTCTGGAAAAGTTCATACGAGTGCCAAAGTTCAGTGTGCTCTTCGAAATTGGCAGGAAATGGCGTCCCGTGAAATCAAACCAAAAACCCGACAGCTATCGGAGAGCGGAGAGCGTACCGTCAAAGACGGAATCAATCGGACGGGGAGCACGTGCTCACAACAAGCAAGATTAGAGTCTAGAGACGAAAGACAAGGACCGAGCTCGGACTTGGGGTTGCAGGGGTGGTTGACGAAATGGAGCCCCAATGTGATCCAACATGTCCCAACACAATACGCCCATGTTACCCGTTACCCGAATAAGAGGGTGCCTCACAAATGAGATGCGCTCAAGGCTCAGCGTGTGCAAGGTATCAAGTTTTCGTCTTGAGCAGTTCCGGTGTGGGGCGCGTTGCCCCAGAGTTTGCGCGCCACTGCCTGGCCTGCATTTCCTGAGGCCTGACGATCCCGCTGCCCAGGGCTCTGGCGATAGCTCCTGGTGGAAAGGCCACGGAAAGGAGCAAAGCTGGCTAATTATCAAGTTCTGCTTCCCAATCCCTGGGCTTCAGCTTTTTCCGCTTTGCAAGGAATGCCAGGGTGCCCGGCAAAACGATAATATGGGAGTGTTTTTTTTTCTTGGGGGGGGGGGGGGGGGGGGGGGGGGGTGTGTGCCCAGGTGCGGTGCAATAGAACAACCCCCTATAGCACAGTGCCGGTAAGACATTTCTTCTCCTCAAAGCCCGCTTGAATCGTGCAGGCTATCAAGCATGGGACAAGTGGCAGGGCTACAGCTCCTCCTGGCAAGCGGACTGGAACTGGCCCTGGCGAAGTGACAGTCAGGACATGAGCTAACCGCTGTGATTTCTGTGGAAGTTGACCTGCTGTGAGCTGCTGTGCGTGGCCCTCTTGCTGATTTCTGCAGGCGGGAAGCTCGTGGTCGCGGAGATGGGAAGAGGCCAGAAACGCTGGACTTGGTTGACATGCAGTATCATGCAGTGCAGTTGCACCTTGTGGAGCTTTTATGGGTGCTTGGCATACTGGCACAGCCAGGGATTCCATGCACCCAGCCCGTGCCACGTGCGCTACAGGATGAAAGGAGGTGGCCTGGGCAATGGCCGCATGCGAACAGGCCTCGGCCATCAAGAGCAGCGAGCAGCACAAATTTTGCTTGACCGGCACATGCAGGTACCAGCGAACCGATTGATGCGCTGGCCACAAGCACAAATTGAAGCAGCGGAAACAGTTGCAGCAAAGCTCCATGAAAGCTGTCGCAACTGTGCGGGGCCCGATCGTCGCGAACGTTGTACTTGTGCAATCTGCATGAGAGAGCCACAAGCCTGCGACGTGACTACAGTGTCAGGTAGTTTCAGTCGTTGGCAGAACAGACTGCAGGCTCCGACAAAGAGGCTGATGACTCAATGATCAATGCTTAGCTGCTTCGGAAAAAGGGGAGTGGCTGTGCTTTTGAATCACCGTTTGTCCATTGTGATCCATGCCCTCCATGCTGTGACCTCATAATTTATGTTCTGATAGCAGCTTGCAGCTTTCAAGGCCGATCCAGTCAAGCACTCAGCTATGCAATGTTTCGCAAGCCTTTCCGAAACCAGTCAACATTGCCGGTGCCCATTGGCAGCACAGAATGATGCGATTTCGGTTCTACAAGAGTTTTTGCTGCTCAGGTGCTTCCTTTTCTTAAAGGCGTCAGCCTGGCGCGGCTGAACCAGCCTGCGGAGGCCTGGCGTACGGAGTCAGTTACATGCCTTTTGGTCAGAAGGTGACGAGTCAGGATGCTCAACAAAATACACAGATCAAGTGGGACTAAGTGGGATGTGTGTGTGTGTGTGCGAATGGTGGCCGCCCGGGCCGCCCAGGCAGCTGATGTTCTGGAGGAGGCCATTGCAATGAACCCCGGCTTCAAGCAGGCAGATGCCAAAGTTGAGCCAAAGCAGTGCCAGCAAGAAGGCAGAATACATTCAGCATCAATTAACGTAGTGGCAGGCCTATTTGGAGTTCGACCAAGCTTGCACAGCGCTTCGTGACTTTGCGCGGTGCAGGCAAAACCGCCGGCATTCGCTGACAGAATTTCGTACGTAGAAGTATGTCGACAGCATCTCTGCAGCCTATTTTTGAAGCAGGAAGGTGGCGCAGAACCTGGTGGAGCACGGAGGTGCGTGGAGACCTCCTTCCATTGTGTTGGCGCAAGAACCTCGATCACGTTCATCGTGTCACCCGCATTGTGTAGCGATGCTTCTGTTACAACTCTATCTACCTGGATCTAGCCACTTCCCCGTCCTGCCGTAATCATTGATGCATCCCATCTATTGAAGGGAATCTGTCTCCGTGCGGGCGGAAGCAAGATCTTTGTCTGACCTGTGTTTTGTTTTGGACTACCCCACTTGTCTCTCTATCAACCCTTCACTTAAGCCAAGTCGAAGGCCATTGGGTCAACTGCTGGCAACGACCTCTTCATTTTCATGCCGGTGAAGATCCAAAGGCGGCGAAACGCGCGATTGCATGGTTGACTGGCCCATGAATGACGATGTCCTCGGAAAACCCCGACTAAGACAGCTTGACGTACATGAATGCCTGCCTGTAGGGTTGCATGTGTGCACGTGCACGTATATGGTGTATGCAAGAGCGCAAGCCTGCGGAAACGCTGCGGCATAAACGCTGCCGCATGGTCAGCGCAACTTATTCGTAATACATGCATGCCGCGCGCGCGCGCGCGCGCGCGCGCGCCAAGAGTGGCAGAGATCGCAGTGTGATGATCGGCCTGGACGTGCTTAACCGAGCGGAATGTGAAAGCAAGACCGCAGCGTTCGATCGGAATTCAAGTCGCCCAAGTTGAACTGATAGCACTTTCTCCACTTCTCTCAAAAATCCGATTTCTGTTCTCAGTCGCATATTCAACAAATGAGTGTGACTGGTGGCTTGCACCAAGTTGCTTCAACCTAGCATAGGCACGGGAGCAGTTTCTGCACATGCGGTTGCTGAAGCGCGTTGTAGGGGTTTCAAAAGGGTTTTAGGGCTTCACGAAGAAAACGGTTCCACGGATATCTTATTGTAGAACGCGGTGCTCTGCTTTCGAGAACTCCTGCCGCTCTGGCGCCGTAAGTCACTGTGAGTGTGCTGTGTGCGTCACCAGAGATGGGCCCGGCTTGGAAGGTCACATCGCGCCCGTGGTATGATCCTTCCCAGTTCGAGCAATTTGGCTGAAGGTCTACTTGCATGCTGGGTCGCCTTATTCCCGTAGTCGTGCAACTTGTCCCGAGGATGGTGCGCTGCCTCGAGGAAAACTTTGTTGCAGCAGCCTCGAACTTCCGTTCAAGTGACATGTCCCGACTTGATTTGGGAAGCTTGGGGGGTTGCGTACGAGTTGTCACTGTTTTTGTCCGGGCTCGGCAAGGCAGCAAGGCTCTGTAACATTCTGCAACACTCTTGAGGGTCAGGCACCTCTCAAGCCCACGCAGAAACCTGGCGCTACAGAGCTGCGCTTTCCACATGGATTGACGCAGGCTGCGGTATGACGAAGTTCGTTACGTGCGTCTAGCGCCGCAACCCCACACACAAACAATCCTTGGATTGGCGTCATCACTGACCAAGGTGATAAAGAACGAGTTGGAGGCACTCTGCGCGAAATCAAGTGGGAGGCAGGATGGGAAGCCGACATAGACACGGATGATTTTGTTCCCTCGTGCTGGCACAATGGATCCTTCTTGGAATATCCGTCGGCACAAATGCATTTTTCCACATATATATATATATATGCATATAGATATCCTCCTATGTGTATTAGTATATATATATATACATATACATATACACTTGTTATGTGCACCGGCACTTCTGCGAGTTTGGCCAGACTGCACGCGTTGGGCTTTACCTTATCACACCCGGCCTCACTCTTGGCCTCGCGTTGTTTCGGGGGCGGGGGCCGGCCAGTATATTTGAGGTTTTGAGGCGCAGAACTTACATGTGGAAGGGTTGCCTTACTGATGTGACGCGTTGTCCTTGTCTGCGGGGCAGCAGACCAGATCATTGGACTAGCTGCTGAATGCATCATCGTCAGGTGGGATTCGGTCAAACTCAGGTCAGCGGGTAGCCGACTACAAAGCTTTCTCCAAAACTTGCGCCTTGCAAGAAAGCCATAAACAATCGCACGTGCACTTTGGAATACTAAGCCAATCTTGTGCACCGCTGTCGTCTTCAAGACCTAACGCTTGAAACTTGAAACACTTACCCGCCCCACACATGTCGGGTTATGCCGTATGGGCCCATGTACCACACAGATAGAATGCTGACAGTAGCAGTCACTGAAGCTCACAGCAGTTCTTCAGGTGGGGAGGAGTCGGCACCGCACACCGCGGCAACCAAAACTCGTCCAGGGCTCAGAATCACGGATGCAATGGGACGGTCAAGACTCAGTGCTGACGGATTGAGCAGCCGGAGCACCATGAAGTGTGAGAAGGAGCAAGTTATATCATGGGCCACTGGGGCCACTGCAGGTGCCATGATGCGGATTTGGTGGCTGCAGGCGAGTGGCAGGAGGCATCACATGCTTGGGGCATGTGCCAGGCCACTTTGCCTGTTTGCATATAGGACTGGCAGAATTCCTGCAGTCCATCTCTTGCAGGGCGCATGCCCTTTCGGGAAGTTCGAATCATCATAGTGATTAGTAGTGCTTTCGGATGGTGGGAGAAGGAATATTTGCAACGTACGAAAATCCACATTAATGAAAGGTATGGTGCAAAGAACATGGGACCTCATGCCGGGTTCCACAAGCAGATCGCTTGAATCACGTATCCCACCCCAGGAGCAGGGGATCGTGTATGGAAACCCGGCAGAGCGAATGCTCCAGGATGCTTCCAGATCTGTATGAACTGCAATCGGAAAGAAAATCCTGTTTCCAACCCCGGCCCCCCCTTCCTTCCCCTGGACCTGCCGCAGATTAAAGTTTAAACTGAGAGAAAGTTGGAGAGGCAAGAGGGACTAAAAAGTGCTAGGCATGGCTTCAGGGCAGGCGTGCTGTTTGCTGTAGTTTTGGGTTTTTTCGGCCTCTGTATTCCAGGTTGTGCTACTCGGGGACTCGGATGAATGCATTGCGACTTGGCGTGGATTTGCTGCAGGTGTTTCGGCGAGAAGGCGTGCGCACACACGAGCGTTCAAGAGCCCGCTTTATTTGAGGACAACGGCTCGCACTGTCCAGCGCGAGGGGCTGAGAGGATAACTGTCCAAACTCGGTATGCTGGTACAATTATTATGATTATGATTATGATTATTATTGTTATTATTTATGTTTTTTTGTTTTTTTTTTGGGGGGGTGGGGTGTCTTCAGTCTTGAGGGCAGAAACATCTGGGCCATCAGGCTTCCACATTTGGCAGCCTTTAACCATTTCTGTTTCCAAGGACCACGTCGCTCCTGAACAAGTTTGACGAGGTATCGTCGCGCCATGCGAATGTTGTGCTGTGCCAGCCGGTGCCATACCAACTTCCGAAGTTGATGCGCCTGTTGTGGGACAATTCTTCATGAACACACCTGACACACATGGGAAGTCTTGGTGCGCCCTGGCACTCCCTCGCGAACCCCAACTCACCCGTGTCTTTGAGCAACAGATGGCTTGCATTGCATATGGCTCCAAAGCGCTTGGTGCTTAGTACAGATGTTCACGCTTGTTCATGCAAGCTAGAGCATGATGGCTGCGGCCTCAGTTTGGACCGTCACATGTCATGGTTTGCATATGTTTGCCTCCTTGGCCTGTCGACGGGTCTCGCCACATGAACTGATTCGTTACTTTTGATGTGACCTGAGGCATGGATGGAAGCATATCTGCCGGTGTGCCTTGGCAGCAGAAGCGCAAGACAGTTCAAGCCTGAGCCTGTGCGCGCCCCATGCGTGTGCATCTCGAGCGTTTGTGTGTCGCCAGGTAATGAGATTCTTGGTTGCACCCAGTTGCTCACTTTTGCTTAGCTTCTGTCATCTTGAAAAATTTCAAGTTGCGCCGTTTGACAGGCACAGCCACTCAAGTGGTACTGTAGTTGAGAGTTGAGCTACAGCGGCTGCGGGCCGTTGGCCCAGTGGCCTACAACCAAAATTGCATTCATAGCTTTCCCGCAGATTCCGCAGGTTTTTCTTCTCGAAGAGCTGCATGCGCAAGCCAATCTGTGAGCCGCATCTGCCAGCCCAGCGAACTTTGGGATCCCAGACACAAGATGCCACAAGCTTCCCCATGAACACAGATACACAAAGCTGCAACACATGAAACAACTAATTACAGACAGCAGAGATCTGCATTGCTGCGCCAATGAGTCGGGCCTTTGGGGCGCACGGCAGATGCAGAGCACATGCCGAGGCTTTGCAGTACTTCGATGGCTGTAAACGCTGCGAGTCGACCGCTTCGGCCCGGCGTGATCAGGGTTTATTCTAGCGCGTGGGGCGTTTTTACCGGGACTCATACCGATTAGATTCGGCACCAGTCCGCTGTCACATTCCAGGAATGGTCTCTCATCATCACCTTGTATGTTTACGGGCTCAAACCAAAAGCCCTTCAGCGCTCATGGTTTTGGATTCGCTTGGTTAGCCTCGAAAGTTCAGGCTTGAAAGTTGGGCCGATGACAGAAAACCAGCACCGCGATGGATCCCCGAAAGTTCCGTGAAAGTAATTTGAATTTGTTCTTTTTGCGAATGAGCTCATTTTGGGATGAAGGAGTTCAGGTCAACGATCATTGTTCGTCTTCTGTAAAACTACCTGTCCTAATTTTCTTGTTGTTTTTTCAACGCTGCAGAAAAGTCAGAAAACCCGTGCAAATCGGCAGCACCTTCAAGAACCCTAGCTTTTACGCGCCTCTGACCTCATAGAAGTCCTCTGGTGTCGGGTTCCCAGGCGACCCAAAGGGTCTGCTGGGAGGGTCCTGGAAGTTTTCCCAAAAGTTTCGGTCCCAGAAGGTCAGGGATGCCTAGAAAGCGCTTGGGAGGTCTCATGTAGATTCCCGCAGAAGCTCAAGCCAGAAAAAGCCAACACGGTGATACTTTCCTTGGGCAGGTGGTCTTCACTTGGCATTCAAGGGGACAGCGGCAGAAAGCAGGAAGCTCCGCAAGCTCCACAGGACCGCCTGCCCCTGTGTCCCTCTATCTCGATACCTGTGACTCTGTGCCACTTCTCCAGATGTTAAAAAGTTATGTATAAGTATATAAATATATAGATATATGATATATTTGTGTATATACATGTCTGTATGCCTCTGTCTCTCTCCCTCTCGCTCTCGCTCTCTCTCTGTCTCCCACGCTCCAAAGCATGTAGAAATTGAACAGTCTGGCATTGTTCCGAACAATTGTCGCTTGCGCGCGCCGCCTCGGCAGCCGGGCCGGCCCACAGGAAAGGAGGAAAGAGGGCCTCAAAAAAAGGGAGGGGGGATCCCAACAAAGGATCAGGGGGCTCCCAGGGGGGTCCCAGGGCAGGTCCCAAATTGGTAGGCCAAGCGATGGGGGGGGGGGGGTCTCACAGGGCGAGGGGGGGGTGTGTGTCACAAAATTTGGCATGGGTTGGGGGGAAGGAGACCGCATCCGTGTCTGCTTGTTCCAAACGCTTCTCAGCAGCAAGCCGAGGCGAATAATAGTTAGGGTGGGAGCCGGCATGAAGAGGCAAGCCCTGTTTGTTCCATTCCGTCGAGGACATTCTTTCCAATACGCAGGTCTACGTACTCTGCATACCCTCTCGACGAAAGCATGCCGAGCAGAATATGATGCGCTGGAGCTTCGATGCAGAGCTCGTCCTTGGCCCAGAGAAGAGCGAGCGCCCTGGCTGCAGTTCAATTTCGCTGGCGTCAGGACTTCCCTAATGTCGCAAAGTACAGGATGGATTTAGATGAGCTGGTCGCCACTGGCGTTGTCATGGAGAGCTATCTGGATGTCATTTGGCAAGATGTGGAGTACATGCCACAGGGCAAGGTGGCATGCCATCTTGGGCACCTGAACATCCTGCGGAGCTTTCTTTCGGAGAGTGAGACCCTCGGCAATTTTCTTGCGACCTTGGGATCCGGGGTCAGAGGTACATCTTGTGCATTTCCGGGCCCCCCCAAACTCAAACAAACTTCTGGAACATGCAGCTAAGGAAAGCCTATGCTCTGATCTTCGAGGATGACCTGGAGCCGGGGCATCCAACGACAGCCGCAGAGTTGCGGGAGTTCCTTTTGAAGCGAGGCACAGTTCAGCAACACATTTCACTCTGAGATAGTTCGCTGTGTGCTGGTATGTTTGAGAGTCCATTTGGCCCTCGCCATTTTTTGTTCTGCATGTTGTGGTCCCGGAATCGTAGCGGCATGGATGCTGGCGTCTTCAACCGAGGAGAGTGCCCGCTGACTTCGACTTGCTTCACCTGGGCTTTGTGCGGGAAAGCAAGGAGGTGGGCAAAAAGAAGCCCATGAAGATGCTGCCATGTGAAACACGGTACAAGGTAGTCCCGGTAGCGCAAGTGTATGCTGCAAGCCACGTGGGAGGCCCGACAAGCTGTTGATGCTGGTGGCCATGTTTTTCGCTCCGTGGAGGCCTTGGGTCGGCACGCCTACCTCGCGACCGGGACGCCTCAACTTTGGGTGGGTTTTGGGCTTTTGGTGGGTGTGTTTTTGAGTCCTCTTTGCCTTTCTTTGTGTAGATCGCTGGATGTGTAGATCAAGAATCAGGTAACGAAGAGGGTGGCAGAGCTCTTGGTGGAGCACACATTGCCCATGTACAACCACGGCGACAAGATGTTTCAACAAGTGTATCAGAAATACAAGCTGAAGGCGTACCACCCAAGGGAGCCTCTGTTCTATCAAGATCGAATCAACTTCGAGTCCGAGCTTACGGAGCGGTGGAAGCCTTCACGCGCCTTCCAGCCAACATCAAGCAATGACTTCATCAGGGACTGCGACAGGCCAGAGATGCAGCGTAGGCATCAGAGGAAGATGCAGGAACAGGCACAAATCGTGGCCATGCAGTCCAAGATTTCGGCAGCTTTGTTTTTGAATGTCGATGGCGTGTTGAACACCTTGGACGAGCCTTCCGCGCTTCTAGTCCTCCATTAGTGTAATGACTAATGAAGTGGTTGCCAAACATGCCTTCACGTTTGCACGGGGTCGTAAAAGCTCGCCTCAAGCACTGGTCGTGATTCAAATACTCGTGATTTAAGCACCGGGGCGGTTCAATCACTAGCAGCTCTGCGCCCCCTATACCCCCCAGGTAATTGCAGCTATCAACGTTTGGGGTTGTTCAGGGCAAGGGACTCGTAGGGACTTAGGGGTTTTTAGGCTGTATAGGCTTCATAGGGTTTAGTGGGGTTTTGCTTCACGGGTTAGGTGTTCAGGCTTGATGGTGTGGGTTTTTGGAGTTCAGGGTTTTCAGGGTTGTCCGCTTGTCTGGAAGAGGGCATTAGGGGGGGGGGGGGCTTGTAGGGGAAAAGGCTAAGGTTCTACACTTCAGGGTTATGGTTTTCGAGCTGGGGTTTAGGGCTTAAGTGTGCGAATCTGCCTGTGCAAATCGGTTTCTTCCCAAAAGCATGCACAAATGTTCAGTGCCCCGCGCAAGAAGCCCATCTGTAGGTCACAGTTTGAACTCAACCAGCCGAGCTCGTAAGAGCTCCGTAACTGTAATCCATGCAGCCCACCACCCTTCGACTCAGTGTACGCCCACACACAAACACCACAAAGCGTTACACGTGAGCGTTGTGTAAGGTCCTCCTCGTGTGGCCGTGCGTTGGCGGGTCCGTTGCGCCGCCTTGCCCGTGTGCTGCAACAAGCTCCCAGCTGCTTGGTGCTTACCAGCCCCTGGAGGCACGGGAGATGAACCAATTCCCAAGGTTCCCCAAGCTTTGGCTGCGAGGAATGGAGGCATGTGGCCGGGTGGTTTTGAGTAGCCGTGTGCAGGCTGGATGAGCGCTATGCTGGTCGTTTGGGTTCCGCGCTGGCACGAGAAGGCGTGCCGTGGGCACAGGCCGCAATTGCAGCGACGCCAGATGGACGAGCTAGCGGTGCCATGACTGCAACGTTCCACCAAACGACCAAACTGAAAGCGAAGGTAGCATAAGAGCATCTAAGAGAGAAATCAAAAACATTCTCCCTGAATCTGCTTTTTGAGGAGCTGAGAAGGAGGAGCTACGAGTGCTCGAAATTGGATCCTGGTTGGAGAGCAACACCTGGGTTCAGGACTCCTTTGCAGAACCTCCGCAGTGCTGTTTGTATTGGAGCACTGAAACAGCAACTCCTTTCAAATATCCTTCCAGGAATGGGCAATTCTGGATTGTCTCGATCTGACCCACCTCGACGATGCCTTGTTTGGCCGCGTGGTGCGCACCGACCATGGTCACGGGCTTCAGGAGGAGGAGGCTGAGCTCCTGGTCAAGATCTTAAGTGGGACCTACTGACACTGACCCAGGGACTGCCAGTTGGACAGCTGGAAGGCTGCAA